TCTGGACTAAATCTTTGCGTGGGAAGTTCGTCGAAATAATTTAGTGTGGCGTGTAAAGTAATTTAGTGATTGGTTTTGATAAGTGGGTAAATTAACCCTAACCAGTCGCAAAAGAGTTAGGAATCAGCCGATGATTAGGCCTATTTTGATAGAATATGTAAAGTCAATCGCACCTTTAAGAGGAATACAACCACATAAACTTACACTAATTGTATTTTTTTATGTTGATCAAAAAAATCTAGGGTTAAGTTTAGTCAATGGAATACCTTTAGTTTGCGCTAATAATTTTGTTAAGCCTTAACAAAAGGAGTATAAGCTTAAAAAAATGAACTGGGTAGGGATGCTAATTTAGCGGTTTTGACTAGGAACTAAGCTTATCTCAACACACCTATATTTGCCTATTCATATTCGACGAAGACTACTTCCTAAATTCCAATCAGGGAAGCCTTTTTTTATCACCACTAACCACAAGACCAAAGCTACCTTAATAAACCAGTATTTATTCACAAACAATTATATGTTTCCTGCCTTTAACAGAATTAAGCCTTTGGAGTGATTCAAATTATTTATTGAAAATAACATCAACAAAAGCAAACAAAGACAAACAACAAACTGTTTTTTACACAAAAGATATGGTGTACAGAGATATCTACTCTGACACATAAATAATATATATTTCTGAGTGTGTTTAAATATTAGAATAATTTGTTTTACATTATTGAGCTCTTTAGGGAGTTATGTCCCTACAGGCCACTAGTTTATATATATTTATATATATATATATATATAGAGAGAGAGATATCTAAATATATAAAAGGCAAAGCCCTCACTGACTGACTGACTCACTCACTCACTCACTCATCACTAATTCTCCCACTTCCCATTTACCTAGGAGGCTGAAATTTGGTACACCGATTCTTTGGGCATTAAATAGGAAAACTAAGTAGTTTTTATTCTGATCGGGCTTTCGGGCTCCGCCCCAGTGGCTCTGGAGTTTCCCATGTTAACCTTATGATTTTTCATATTTCAAAGGAATTTCTTAACAGCTGTTTCAATTAAACAAGCTGGTTCTGTTCTATGGTGTTCAATGACATTAAAGTTAACAAGGATTACCAACAGGGTGCAGCACTATTATTTTTTTTTTATTTATGACTACAGCCAATTTGCAACCTGGAAGCGATTTAGCGTAGCGAACGAGCTAACCTGAAGGCAAGTGAGCGGAGCGAACCGGTCCTAAAGGTGAGTGAGAGTAGCGAACGAAATTCAACCAGGACGTGATGGAGCCATGCAAACGAGCTCACTTGTGAAGTTAAACGGGACAAAGCCCGCGGGTACAGCTAGTATATATATATATATATGTCCATCCGCACGATAACTTGAGTAATTTTTGTCCGATTTTGATAAAATTTGGTTTGAAGGTGTAAAGCGGGATAAACTTGAATGAGTTCGGGAACCAGCATGATCGGACCATGGGAACGGGGTTTAACAGGGTGTTTTATGGGGTAAAAATGGGGTTTTCTCATTTTTTATCCTTAAAACACACAATTTATCAATTTTTCTCCAGACCTTTTTAAAGAGCTTAAAAAAACAAATAATTTAGTATATCAAAGTGTTTTTGTACAATAATAGGTTACGAAGAAAATTCAAAAAATTGTTAATTTAAAATTCCCATGTTATTCTTATAAAGAATATTAAACATAAATGTTAATTTAATATATTAATAATAAAAAAAAAATCCAGGCAAATGGAAACTCGCTAAGTCGGCAGGTTTGCTGCAGCGGGGGTATTTATTTTTGTATTTAGCTGTTAGTTGAGTTGAAACTAATCTACTTAAATTGGTTATGAATATATAATGTGAATTGTCACCATTTTTATGATACAACAGATCAATATCTAAATTTGCATCATACTTTTCAGATATTTGTAACGGAAAAATCTTTTCATCTTCATCAATTCTATGTACATTAATTGACATGGATGGATAATATATTTAGAATTAAATGATCTTTTTTCAAATAATTTTATATCTTTTAATGTTATTGGATAATCAAAACCTTTAAAAATTTCATCATTTATGTAACGCTGATACTGTTTAACCCGTTCAGAGTTTTTATTTGTTCTATCAATAGCACATCTGACAGCAAAAATGAAACAATAATCATCTTTATTTTTAAAATTTATACAACACTTCTTGTTTTTCACTTATTGTTTTTTTTTTTTTTTTTTTGTTTCATTTGGTAATTCAACATACGATCCAGCATTTAATGGATTAACTTTGTATAATTTGAGATTTAATTCTAAACATCTACTTAATGACCAACCACTGCCTTTTGAGGGTTGATTTAAATTTTCTCTTAATATCAACTTTTCAAACTGATCATCAATAAACTCATCAATATTTAAGATATCTGAACTCCTAAGAGCATAATACATTGTACTTGTTTGATGTTCACCACTAACCAGTTTTCTTTGATAATCACATGTTAAAGCTAACTGTCCTTTTATATTTTTAAATTCTTGTTTTTCAACCAATTTTTGAACTTCAATCCTTTGTGATTCTAAATAATCAGATATATCTAAATAATCATTTGAATTTGCTAGAATATATTCTTGAAAATAGCCTTTTAAAAGATGCTTCTTGAATATTTATTATATTTTGTTTTGGAATTGGTTTATTTTTAAGATAATCCGTTAATATTTCAATCAATTCTTTTCTAGTTTCATTTACAACTAGCTGTACCCGCGGGCTTTGCCCCGTTTTACTTCATAAGTGAATTATTACTAGAGGTTAAAATACCTTATAATCCGTCAGTGTGATCAAAAAGTCACCGATGAAAGGCGACCGGTTTCAACCCATCAAAGGGGTCATCATCAGGCGTTGAATGGACACATAATTACTCCGAAGAGGTCGTCATAAAGTCAATAAATACAAAACGAAGAACATTTTAAATTTTCAATTTAACAGAACAGATTTTTACAAAAATGTGTTTAAGTGTTTTAACTGTTCTTCGTTTTGTATTTATTGACTTTATGACGACCTCTTCGGAGTAATTATGTGTCCATTCAATGTCTGGACTTGTAACTCAATGTGCACATACCGTCCGCCGCGCAGTCAATTTGTAGCCACACGTATTTTTGTAAAAATGTGTTTAAGTGTTTTAACTGTTCTTCGTTTTGTATTTATTGACTTTATGACGACCTCTTCGGAGTAATTATGTGTCCATTCAACGCCTGATGATGACCCCTTTGATGGGTTGAAACCGGTCGCCTTTCATCGGTGACTTTTTGATCATACTGACGGATTATCTATATATTAATAGGCAAGCATGTTTCTTTAAAACCTTTTTTCTCAGCTTGTGTGCATCGTGGGGTAAATCTGCGCATACCGTTAGAAAGCAATTTTCCTGTAGGTGTGCAGAATCCCTTTATAAATTTAAATAGGCTCAAAGATAAGCACAAAAAATGAGTTTAAAAATTTGAAAAAATTAACATGGATCTTATGCGTTGCCATGCTGGTGACGAAATAACAACGAAATATAAACAGAAAATCAAAACAAATGGAAGAAACTCCAATCACATGTTTTATTTACAGTGTGGGGTGAAAATAGAGAAGTGAGTACATTACATATTTTTGGTCGAGTTTCGACCACTGGACGACCTCTCGTAAATTTATATATTGTGATCAGGAGGCAAAAACAACAAAAATGAAGTTCATAAGTGAGCTCGTTCGCATGGCTCAATCACGTCCTGGTTGAAGTTTGTTCGCTACGCTCACTCACCTTTTGGTTGCAAATTAGCTGTTGTCATAAATTTAAAAAAAATTATAGTGCTGCACCCTGTTGGTAATCCTTGTAACTTTAATGCTATTGAACATCATAGAACAGAACCAACTTGTTTAATTGAAACAGCTGTTAAGATTCATTAATTCCATTTAAATATGAGTACTCATTAGGTTAACATGGGAAACTCCAGAGCCACTGGGGCGGAGTCCGATCAGAATAAAAACAACTTAGTTTTCCTATTTAATGCCTAAAGAATCAGTGTACCAAATTTCAGCCTCCTAGGTAAATGGGAAGTGGGAGAATTAGTGATGAGTGAGTGAGTAAAAAAGAATTATTTCTTAATTATTTATTAATTATTTAAAAGAATTATTTCTGAAAAAAAATGAATAGACGAAAGAATAAGAACAAACATCTTATAAATATTTTAAGAAAATTTAATCATTTTAAAACCATATCGTACACAACAATTACCTAATGAAATCTATACATTATTTATTTTAGATAATAGTTTTGAAATAACACCTAAAAATATAAAATTGTTCTTAAAAGAAAGAAATTATACAAACTATACTATCAATTCTTAAACAAAATATTCAATATAAATTTTGAATTAAGTTTTGAGGATAAAAAAATAATACAGCAATTTTAATGCATATTTCAGATTTATAAAAAGAAATATATCATTAAAGAAATTGTTACCAATGATTGTTAAACTTTTAGAATAAAATTTTTTATATAAAACCAGATTTTGATGATAACATTTTAATATTTTAAAATCATTTATAAAATTATCCATGTATAATATATCAGCAAAATGGTTTTTCTGATAACATAAATGTTATAGAAGATATTGTTAAATAAATAAAATATTCATCTATCACACTCCAGTTCTAACAAACAGGAGTGTGATCTTTCTAATTTTTTCATATATTTCAATTATTAACTATATAAGATTTTTTAAAATCAAATTTGTTTATAATAAATGGATCTACTAGAAGAAATTAATATATTGGAGAATGTAAATTTAAAGAATATAAACAATTAAAAAGTTTAGAATTGGATACAAATTATAAGATTGAAAAATTTGATAAAGTTAAAGATAAATATGGATTCACAATTATTATTGAATTAAAACAACGTAAAGTTCAATTGCCTCATAGATTTATTGGTAATTTAAATGAAAAAACAATTAAAGAACTAAACAAAAAAGATTTCAACTTAATGATTACTGAAATTAAAACATTCAAAGATTAAGAAACTGTTTTGGTTAAATTTGTATAAAAACTATTCGATATTCTACATATTTTATAACTTTCTTTGTTTTTAAAAACATTTTGTTTTGTAGACAATATTATGGAAATTTAGGCATATTTATAAAGATTTCATCAATATTTTAGGTTTTTTTCTGATAATGTTGGAAATTGGCCTAAAAGAGGCGAAATGTTTACATATTAGTATTGAAAAACAACAAATTTCATTAAATAATTGAAGTCTTCCTTTTTAGAGCCAAAAGTAAAATGATACAATATACTTATATGTATATATAATCTTGTTTGTTTTCTCATGAAAGACTATCATCAAGTAGTACACTAAAATCGATTTACAGTATGAACCAATCTTATATGACTTATTTTGTTTATAGTTGTGAAAGATGTACTGCATTATTAAGTTTACCCTCCAGTATGAATTAATGTATGTTTCTTCATATGAATTTTGTTTGTGAAAGATTTTCAGCATGTACTGCACTTATAAGGCCGCTCTCGAGTATGAACATATGTATGTTTCTTCATATACATTTTGGTTAGATTTTCCGCATGTACTGCACTTAAGAGGTCACTCTCCAGTATGAACATATGTATGTTTCTTCATATAAATTTTTTTGTGAAAGATTTTCCGCATGTACTGCACTTATAAGGTCGCTCTCTGGTATGAACTAATGCAAGTTCCTTCATTTTACTATTGGTTGTGAAGGATTTTCCACATGTACTGCACTTATAAGGTTGCTATCCAGTATGAACTAATGTATGCCTTTTCATAGCATTTTGAGTTGTGAAAGATTTTCCGCATGTATTGCACTTATAAGGTCGCTCTTCAGTATGAACCAATGAATGTTTTTTCATAGCATTTTGGGTTTTGAAAGATTTTCCGCATGTACTGCATTTATAAGGTCGCTTTTCAGTATGAACCAATAAATGTGTTTTCATTTCATTTTTGGTTTTGAAAGATTTTCCGCATGTACTGCATTTATAAGGTCGCTTTTCAGTATGAACCAATGTATGTCTTTTCATATACTTTTTGGTTATGAAAGATTTTCCACATGTAATGCACCTATAAGGTCGCTCTCCAGTATGAACTAATGTATGACTTTTCATAACATTTATGTCTGTGAAAGATTTTCCGCATGTACTGCACTTATAAGGTCGCTCTCCAGTATGAACATATGTATGTTTCTTCATATAAATTTTGTTTGTGAAAGATTTTCCGCATGTACTGCACTTATAAGGTCGCTCTCCACTATGAACTAATGCATGTTCCTTCATTTTGCTATTGGTTGTAAAAGATTTTCCACATGTACTGCACTTATAAGGTCGCTCTCCACTATGAACTAATGCATGTTCCTTTATTTTGCCATTGGTTTTGAAGGATTTTCCACATGTACTGCACTTATAAGGTCGCTCTATGGTATGAACTATTGCATGTTGCTTCATTTTGCTATTGGTTGTAAAAGATTTTCCGCATGTACTGCACTTATAAGGTCGCTCTCCACTATGAACTAATGCATGTTCCTTCATTTTGCTATTGGTTGTGAAGGATTTTCCACATGTACTGCACTTATAAGGTTGCTCTCCAGTATGAACCAATGTATGCCTTTTCATAACATTTTGGGTTGTGAAAGATTTTCCGCATGTATTGCACTTATAAGGTCGCTCTCCAGTATGAACCAATGAATGTTTTTTCATAGCAATTTGGGTTTTGAAAGATTTTCCGCATGTACTGCATTTATAAGGTCGCTTTTCAGTATGAACCAATAAATGTCTTTTCATTTCATTTTTGGTTTTGAAATATTTTCCGCATGTACTGCACTTATAAGGTCGCTCTCCAGTATGAACCAATAAATGTCTCTTCATATTATTGTTGGTTGTGAAAGATTTTCCGCATGTAGAGCACTTGTAAGGGCTCTCCTCAGAGTGTTTCATCAAATGACTCTTTACTAGTTTTAGTTGTACAAAGGTTTGCTCACATATCAAACATTTAAAGGGCCGCTCACCCGTATGCTCTAATATATGTGTCCTCATTTTCCACTGAGATGAGAAGATAATTGAACATACTGGACATTTAAAAGGGAGCTGTTTATTGATGTTTAACATTTTTTAATTATCACTATCGAATTATGAGGAACACTTATCAGGACCAAGTAACAAACTACATGAGTCAACTAGTCAGTATGATTTGTATGTCTATTTAAATATTTCCCTTGGTTGAAGAATTTGTTAACTATTCAATAGTTACATACTCATTCATTTTCAGACATCTGTTGCTCAACTCTTGTTACCAATGTGTTGGAGGTGTAATATAGGAGTGGAATTTTCCTTTTATCTGCTTGTTTTTTTGTTCAATTATATTTATTTTTCTTATATCATCTAATATATAAAATTCTCGTGTCACAGTGTTTGTCTGCAAACTCCTCCGGAACGACTTCACCGATCGTTATGAAATTTGGTGTGTAAATTCTGTAGGTATGCGAATCGGACGTAAACTATTTCCCGTTTCGAAATTCTTAAAAGGGCTCCGCCCCAGTGGCTCTGGAGTTTCCCATGTTAACCTTATGAGAAATGGAATTAATGAATCTTAACAGCTGTTTCAATTAAACAAGTTGGTTCTGTTCTATGATGTTCAATAGCATTAAAGTTACAAGGATTACCAACAGGGTGCAGCACTATTATTTCTTTTACATTTATGACAACAGCTAATTTGCAACCAAAAGGTGAGTGAGCGTAGCGAACGAACTTCAACCAGGACGTGATTGAGCGATGCAAACGAGATCATCTTGAAAATTAAACGTAACGGTACTTTCTTTCCATCGGTCTGTCTTAGGGGAAACCTATAACTTAGGCGATACGAAGTTCGCCGGGTCAGCTAGTAGAATTATAGATTTTAGGTTTCTTTTCCTCATGTCTGGGATAGTATATTGCCACTTCTGAAAAAGACCATGCTTTATTAGACATATATATTTTTATAACACATTTATTTAAGCTTTCTGTTCATTTAGGTTTAGCATTAATTAAAAAAATTACAATACTTGCTCATTAATATCATAATAATCCAAAAATCAGGGTTGTACACGCACACGGCATTTAAAATTATGTTGGCTAATCTAAATAAGTACGGTTTAACATCTATTGTATTTGGAACTCTTTCTGAAGTTTCTAAAACCTCACGCCATGAACATTGATTTTTTCTAATTGGAAAAGTGATCCCTACAGGATTCATGATCTTGCAATCCTAGCATGGCTCTAAGAGCTTTCTTTTGCCAAACAAATGCTTTCTGAGCTAAGTGTGAACCACCCCAGAGACGCAAACCATAAAGCAGCTGTGAGTGAAACAAACCGTAGTAAGTCATTTTTAGAGTGTTAAAACTCACACATGATCTAAGTTTTCTCAAGAGACAGGTTATTCTAGCCAATCTTTTACAAAGTTGTGTGATGTGGTTATCCCAGATTAGTCTGTTGTCAAGATGGATGCCTAAGAGTTTGACTGTTTTATAAGCATCAGTGGGTTGATCTTTTTTTAGTGAAAAGTAGATGTATTCTGTTTTTTCCTCATTGATAGCCAAATTATTGATTTTATACCAGAATTTAGCACAGTTTAGGGCATGATTAAGATCGTACTCAACTGTTAAAACATTATCATCTTTACAGAACAGGGTAGTATCATCAGCATAAAGTATTGATTGAGTAGGGATATTAAAACTAAAGTCGTTAATAAAAATCAAAAACAGGAAAGGTCCTAAAATGGACCCCTGAGGAACACCAGCATTCAATTCCAAAATATCAGAATAACCATCTCCTATCACGACCTGCTGTTTACGGTTTTCCAGGTAGGATTGAATGATGTTGAGTTCACGGTTCCTAACGCCATAGTAATATAGTTTATCAAGAAGAATGGGATGGGAGATTGTGTCGAAGGCCTTGGTCAAATCAATAAGGCATGTACCTGTCACCAACTTGTCTTCAAACCCTTGCAAAACTTGGTTAATTAATTCTTCTACAGCCATTGTGGTTGAACAGTTGGCTCTAAAGCCGTATTGACCTTTATATAAAAGGTTAAAAAGTGTTGAAGCTGCTCAAGCATACATGATTCAATTATTTTTCCTAAAATTGGAACCAAAGCTATTGGACGATAGTTTGATGGGACATTCTTGTCGCCTTTCTGATGAATTGGCGTTACTCTGGAGGTTTTTAAACAATCAGGAAACTTTCCTTCAATTAAAGCGAAATTTATAAGATGTGTTAGAGGTTCCAGGATAAAATTAACTATGTATTTAAGAGTAAAATTGGAGAGTCCAAACAAATCTTCACTACGGGAACCACTGAGTTTACAGACCAAAGAATGCACTTTATGTTTATCAACAAGGGTCCATTTAAATAACTGGATGTCAGGAGTATTTGAATATGGCTTAGGGCAGTTACTCAACAATTCAAGATGAGTAATTACATTATCATCATTATAGAGTTTATTTTGTGTGTTGTTTGTTACAGAAGTAAAGAAATTGTTGAGAGTGTTAGGTGTTAAAGTTGTTTTGGAAAATGTTTTAATCTGTCCTGATTCTTTTCTGATTATTTCCCAAGCTTTTTTACATGTATTTTTGGATTGAGCAATTAGTTTGTCATTAGCAGTGATTTTGGCTTCTCTTATCTTGTTTGTATACATGCTTTTGTACCTTTTAAAATTGTTCCTATCATTTACATTCTTGCTATATTTCCATTTGTCATACAATAACAATAAATATTTACGCATTGACTCCAATTCTGTAGTAAACCAACTATTACATCTATTATTCATCTTAATATTACTTTTCACATTTACAACAGGACAGCATAAATTAAAATCTGAAATTAAAACCCTAAGAAAATATGTAAAAGCTAAGTTTATGTCATTAATAGAATACAAGGTAGGCCAATCGATATTACTTAACCTATTGACAAAATTTTCAAGTCTTGTTGATGATACAAGGCGTTTCCTATAGTAAGAATCCTCTTTGTTAACTAAGCAACTGTTATTCTTATTTTTATCAATCAAGAATTTTGAAACCACTCCAGCATGATCCGATATTATTCCCTCCCCAGTAATAAAACAGTGAAGCAAGGCTTGATTGTTGACATTAGTGAAAATATTGTCTAAAGCAGTTTGTCTGGTTGGTTTAACATTGGTTGGGAACAAATCAAATGACCTAAGTAAATTCAAAAAATACTTTCCCTCTTTATCATTAACATTTAAGATGTTTATATTGAAATCACCAGGGCGATGTACTTGAAAAGTTTAGGTTTAGATGAAACAAATAATAGAAGATCTTCCAATTTTCTACAGAACTCTGTAAAGCTTGAATCAGGGGTACGATAAATAGATAAAACTAATAAGTCATAATCTAACAATCTAACAGCACATACCTCAAGTAAAAAGTTAAAGCTAAAATACAGTATATAGGTATTAATCCTATTTAGTTAGTTTTAGCGAATTTTGCTATAGAAAAGTAGCTATTACCGTAAGTGACACATTAAGACCTGGGCCTGGGACGGATTTACTTTTTCATTTTGATGTCCCCAGTAATGTCTGCAGGTTTGCTGAGGCAGGGGTATTTTAAATATATTAAAATGGTAGGTAAAAATTAGTGTTTTTTTTTGTGTGCCTGCTAATCTAAAATATTCTGTAATATCAGTTCTATTTGCCTTAAGAAGACCATGAGCTTTAAGGTCATTTAATAACATGAACTTATTCAGTAAAATTCTAACACAGATAGGCTATGCTTTCAAAACAGATCCATAATACATCACCCAGTATTAACACAATAATTGTTTTTGGATTTGTTCCTGAAGAAGGCTTAAGCTGAAATATAGAACATTTTTTGTTAAAAAGTGTGTTAGGGCCTAATGGTTTATTTTTTATACTGAACTGTAAGTGCCACCCAGTATTAACACAATAATTGTTTTTGGATTTGTTCCTGAAGAAGGCTTAAGCTGAAATATAGAACATTTTTTGTTAAAAAGTGTGTTAGGGCCTAATGGTTTATTTTTTATACTGAACTGTAAGTGCCCTGATAATGGTCAAATACTTTAATTTCACCATCTATATATATAATACGCTAAGCCGATTTTTGTGAACAGAACTCCTCCCTCATTTTTGGACCAATTTTGATGATTAAAATGTCAAAAGAATTGCCCTGATCTGTAGTTTTGCAAAGTGTTTTTCGTTTTTTGATATCTTTATTAGTTTGGGCAGGATCTTCCATCAAAGTAGGATTTTCTCCCTTAAGATTAACATGGGGGAATCTAAAAATTTAATTGGAAACTTTGTCACCACTAATTTGAGAGAACGGCTGGGCGTAGCAACTTGGTAGGGGTGTCAAAAGAAAGGTCTTGGTCTGTAGATGGGTTATCAAAAGAAAAACGAAGTAAATTCCCTTAGGGCTCTGCCCCAGAAGCCTTTAAAGATCCCTCTACAGATTTGTTTACATTTTGGCCATGTGGATAATACTTTTTAATGAAACAGCTGTTAATTTGTAAATTGTATTTTAAACAAGACACATTAATTGGGAGTTACTGAATTGTCCAAAAGAAGCATTTGCAATGTTATTTTCTGATTTTAAAATTAATTTTGTTCTGTATCATGTTATGTTTTGCAATATATACCATGACGAAATCAGTGGAAAATCCTTTTATCACAGTAACTCTTAAAATTATTTCTTATTGACCTTATATCTATTTTACGGGTTGGTGACTGCCCTTTTCACCATTTTTGTCTTTATTTTTATCATATTGTTCTAGACAGATCATCATAGGTTCATGAGATTATTGTCATACATGTTTTCAATCATTGGAAAATTAAGCAGCTACTGTCATGACAGAAAGGTCATATTCCTTTTAAACTAGATCACATCATCCTTTATAAGATATGTTGATTTACAATGCATGTAAACGTCAATATTTACGTAACAGCAAATTTACAGTATTTTTGCTTTTTGGAAATGTCCCATTGCTATGTCATTTGCATTATTTGTTGTCAATGAAGCCGCATATAAATGAGGAGGCCCCTAACAGTTTAAGAATAAAAGCCAACTTCACTTCAAGTATATTCCACTACACCTCACATTCCGTAGAGAGATTATATTGACAACTTTATGTAATTGATATGACTGAGACAACTAACTGACATCCCCCATGTCAAGGAATTCCAGCTTTAACAGTAACCCCACAACAAATTTCTCAAAACTGTGATAGAGGGTTATTCATTAGCACAGAAGTACGATATGAACTGACGCGACGTGAAGAAGGAAAAATCAAACTTACACTGTAATGGATATCTCCCGTTGAAGTTAGAACGTGTCTTCCCAACAAACAGATATTTTTTCAAATTAAATCATAGATTAATCTGCATTACACTGATGAAATCACGGAAGTGTTTAACTACAAAAGATCCACCAATACGATTTTAATACTATTTAAAGTTTAATCCAAACGATGAGATACCAGATAATATACTAATAACTCCGATGACGTACAGTATAGGAGATATTTTATTCATTGAATGATCAACCATATTTGGTAACTATCATTATTGTTTTTACACTTATTAATCTTTAAACAATGCTAAATGCTCAAAATATGTACAATTTCACTCAATTTATCACAGTTAGATGAATTAGCGTAATCCTTGAAAATAACCGTCGATTTCGACGGGTTTCACCTAGTAGCTAGTGATTTTCACAAAGAACTGGTAATATTGGAATTAATATAAATTTGAAATAAAAACTTCACCAATATTTTTAGAATTTTTTTTTTAATTTTTAATTTTATTTAGCTATTGATGTGTTCACTTAACATTCACTGGCTTATATTCATCAATAGAAAAATGAGTGGTTGTGTTTTTCTACAATACTGTTTTAATAAAACCAAGGAGAATAATACTAAGGTAATTAGGCGAAACTCTTTACTCTTCTCTAATTTGTACGCAATTCACTTTTGTTTCTAAAACCAGTTAAATATCTGTTACTTTTTTTTTACTCAATGCTTTTTTTTAATTAAAGGAAATACGATGAACTACGGAACAAGGAAAAATAAGAACAGTTAAGTCTTAATTACATTGATTAAATTTGTCAGCAGATATAAAAAACAAATTTTTCTCTTCAGCGTCCTGTCTGTCGCAAAGCACGGGTAGAGCAGCAACAAAGTATTTAATTTGACAACATGACATTATAATTGAGAAAAGCTTATTATATATTATAGACATTAATAGATTATAAAGTTGTTTCAAAAAGCTTAAAAATGCCACCACTTTATTAATTCCTGATTGTTTTTTTTTATCAAACGTCTTATGTTGGTCATTTGGTATACATGTTTAATTACTTTATGAACCAAACTTTTAACAGTCATCTCTTATCATTGAGTTAAGTTAATGGCGACTTCTGAACAAACAGGTGTATAGTTACTTGCCACTTCCCCACTACCTTTACCCATATTTGTGATAGAAAATAATAGAAGAGTGCTCATTTTTTTTAAAATTAATTATGTACATATATTAATCAACACAAAAACTTTTATTAATGTCACAATGTGAAGTAGTTAATACAGTACAAGTAATATATAAATGAGGTTGCTCTTGTGTATGAACCACTAAGAAATATATGTATCAAAGTATTTGCAAAGAAATGCTACGGACAAGCATTTTATGAGGCTGATGTATGTGATAGATTTTACACAAGTATAGTGTACTTATAAGTGGCTCTCCAGTATAAACCAATGAATGTCTCTTCATTTTGCATATTGTCAGGGATTTTCCACGGGTAAAGCACAAATAAGGTCACTTTCTGGTTTTAACCATTCAACCATTGTATGTATATATAATGTAGACTATGTATAATCTTGTTTGTATTCTCATGAAGGATTTTAAACAAGTAGTACACTAAGATCGATTTCCAGTATGAACCAATCTTATATGACTTATTTTGTTTATGGTTAGGAAAGATTTTCCGCATGTACTGCATTTTTAAGATTACTCTCCAGTATGAATTAATGTATGTTTCTTCATATAAGATTTGTTTGTGAAAGAGTTTCCGCATGTACTGCACTTATAAGGTCGCTCTCCAGTATGAACATATGTATGTTGAATCATATAGCTTTTGTATCTGAAGGATTTTCCACATGTACTGCACTTATAAGGTCGCTCTCTGGTATGAACTAATGCATGTTCCTTCATTTTGCTATTGGTTGTAAAAGATTTTCCGCATGTACTGCACTTATAAGGTCGCTCTAATGTATGAACATATGTATGTTTCTTCATATACATTTTTGTTGTAAAAGATTTTCCACATGTACTGCACTTATAAGGTCGCTCTCTGGTATGAACTAATGCATGTTCCTTCATTTTGCTATTGGTTGTAAAAGATTTTCTGCATGTACTGCACTTATAAGGTCGCTCTAATGTATGAACATATGTATGTTTCTTCATATAAATTTTTGTTGTAAAAGATTTTCCGCATGTACTGCACTTGTAAGGTCGCTCTCCAGTATGAACATATGTATGTTTCTTCATATAAGTTTTGGTTGTGAAAGATTTTCCGCATGTACTGCACTTATAAGGTCGCTCTAATGTATGAACATATGTATGTTTCTTCATATACATTTTTGTTGTAAAATATTTTCCGCATGTACTGCACATATAAGGTCGCTCTCCACTATGAACTAATGCATGTTCCTTCATTTGGCTATTGGTTGTGAAAGATTTTCCACATGTACTGCACTTATAAGGTCGCTCTCCAGTATGAACCAATGTATGTCTTTCCATAACTTTTTTGGTTGTGAAAGATTTTCCGCATGTACTGCACTGATAAGGTCGCTCTCCAGTATGAACCAATGAATGTCTCTTCATATTATGGTTGGTTGTGAAAGATTTTCCGCATGTGGAGCACTTATATGGGCTCTCCTCAGAGTGTTTCATCAAATGACTCTTTACAAGTTTTAGTTGTATAAAGGTTTGCTCACATATCAAACATTTAAAGGGCCGCTCACCCGTATGCTCTAATATATGTGTCCTCATTTTCCACTGAGATGAGAAGATAATTGAACATACTGGACATTTAAAAGGGAGCTGTTTATTGATGTTTAACATTTTTTTTACGTATCACTATCGAATTATGAGGAACACTTATCGGGACCAAGTAACTAACTACATGACTCAACTAGTCAGTATGATTTGTATGTCTATTTAAATATTTCCCTTGGTTGAAGAATTTGTTAACTATTCAATAGTTACATACTCATTCATTTTCAGACATCTGTTGATCTGTTGCTCAAATCTTGTTACCAATGTTTTGGAGGTGTAATATAGGAGTGGAATTTATCTTTTATCTGCTTGTTTTTTTTTCAATTATATTTATTTTTCTTATTATATTGAATTGTATATTTTAGGTTTCTTTTCCTCATGTCTGGGATAGTATATTGCCACTTCTGAAAAAGACCATGCTTTATTAGACATATATATTTTTATAGCACATTTAAGCTTTCTGTTCATTTAGGTTTAGCATTAATAAAAAAAAATACAATAATACTTGCTCATTAATATCATAATCCAAAATATCAGATTTGTACACCCACACGGCATTTAAAATTATGTTGGCTAATCTACATAAGTACGGGTTAACATCTATGGTATTTGGAACTCTTTCTGAAGTTTCTAAAACCTCACTCCTTAAACATTGAGTTTTCCTCATTGCAAACAAGTTTAGCTTGCTAGTTGTGGAATTTTTAGGAAGGGTCATAATATCCTATTACGTGAGTCATTTCATTATAAAATCAACAGATACAGACTTCTTTTTAACCTGACCATCCTCGATTTTGAGGTAATTTTGCAAACCTATTGTTAACTTCACTAGATTCAGATTCAGAAACACTTTATTCAAGATTTACATTATACAAATATAAATGCAGACTGGCGTCAATAAGTACAATTAATTCTATAAAATATAATCAAAATGATCACTAAATGACTAGTAACATTTGCTTATTATAAATATTTTCAATTTCTTTTTAAATGTTTTTATATTATTAATTTCTATTATACTGTATTTTTAGGCAGTGAATAAAACAACCTAGTACCTGCAGCAGTGGGTTTTTTATTATAAAACTCTAAATTATGCCTCTGGATGGCTGGGTAGTTCCGATGCCGAGTATTATAATTATGTGTCATTCCCAATTTTGGAAGGAAGTGTATGTGTATTCATTTCACTTTTTATTATATATAGTTGGATTAATTATTAATTAATCATAGATATTGATTAGATCAATTATAGATTAATTATAGTTTTATAAATATATAATCCATACACTGTAAAGATATTTAATTTAGCAAAATAATGTTTGGCCGAATGATTTTCCCCTAAGTTTAAAATGATACGTATGGCTCTCTTTTGTAAAATTAATATACTATGTAAATTTTGAATGGTTGTTGCACCATATAATTCAATGCCGAATGCAATATGTGAGTTTATGTGAGCATAGTAAACCTTCAGTAAAACATTCAACGAGCAGAGTTTAGACAAGTTGTGCAGCATAAATAGACCTGAACAAATTTTGCTTTTTAGTTTATCAATGTGGTACAACCAAGAAAAAATTTGATCAATTATTAGTCCTAAGAATTTAGTTCGAGTCACTTGAGTTAAATAATTGTTATCAATTTTTAAATAAGGTTTTAAAGGGGTTTTTTGGGCAGTTGAAAAATTTATGTAATTGGTTTTCTCTGAGTTAAGCAACAAGTTTTTGCAAGATAAATATTCGTATACAGATTCAAGGCTACTATTGCCTATAGTATATTCAATTTCATTTTTTGATCTACCAGAAACTATTAAATTTGCATCATCAGCATAGAGGCATAATTTACTGTTTAAGTTTGTTAGAGCTGAAGGCAGGCCTTTTATATAACAGAGGAATAAAATTGGACCAAGAATATACCCCTGAGGGACTCCATAGCCTATGTGACTTGTTTTAGAGATTATTTGACTTTAAATAATTGATTGAATTCTGTAATCGTATTCAGTTCAACATATTGCTGCCTGTTTTCTAAATATGATTTAAACCAATTTAGTGAATTACCAGTAATACCAAAATGTTGTAATATTGAAATAAGGGTCTGATGCGAAACGCTATCAAAAGCTTTACTAAGGTCCATGAAAATTCCAACAGAGTTGTCACCTCTATTAATAGCATCAATAATAGTCTCAACTATATCAATACCAGCAGTTGTTACAGATTTTCCAGACCTAAAACCATGTTGTTCTTCGTCAAATAATTGATTATTTTCCAAATATCTTACCAATCGGGAGTGCATTGCACGCTCGTAGAGCTTAGATATAGTGCGCAATATTGATAAAGGCCTGTAATTTGATGGTACTGTTTTTCCCCCATTTTTATGTAATGTTTTGATTCTAGAAATTTTCAGTTTATTTGGAACAATTCCAGAAATGAAAGACGAGTTTAATATGTACCAAGGGTTTTAGTAATGCGTTTTTAGAACTTTTTATAATGGGCATTGGAATCTCATCGTAACCTGAAGTGAACTTGTTATCAAAAAAAGATAATTTTTGCTTGAGTTCTGGTTCATTTAAAGGTTTAATATGGAATTTTGATACATTATTTAGAATTGGCATTTGGACAAACTGTCTATGATTATTTAGTTTAGGGTTAATATATTTGTCAACAACACTTACAAAATACTCGTTAAAAACTTCACCAATTATTATTATTTTGTCTACAACTAATTTAATTTCATCGTTGTGAAAAGGATTTTCTTTAATCTCATTATTTATTATTTTCCACGTGGCTTTAATTACATTGTCAGCATTTTCTATGCTACTTTCAATAAACCTCCTTTTGATTGCTATCATATATGTTGTATAATTTTTCTTGAGTTGTTTTAATGTCTGGTTTAGTTCCCTGTCTTTGGTTATCCTTATATGTTGGCTAAGGCCAATAATATTTTCCTTTTTTCTTTTTTTTCTTTTCACTAGTATTTCAGGCCTTGAACCTTAATATATATATCAATCCTATCTAGTTATATTTAGATAGTTTTAGCGAATTTTGCTATAGAAAAGTAGTTTACAGGAAGTGACACGTTAAGACCTGGGCCCGGGACGGATTTAATTTTTCATTATGATGTCCCCAGAAACGTCTACAGATTTGCTGAGGCAGGGGTATTAAATATATTAAGAAGACCATGTGCTTTAAGGTAATTTAATAACAAGAAGTTATTTAGTGAAATTCTAACACAGACATGCTTTCAAAACAGATCTAAAATTCATCACCCAATATTAACACAATTTTTGTTTTGGATTTTTTCCTGAAGAAGGCTTAAGCTGAAATATAGAACATTTTTTGTTAAAAAGTGTGTTAATAGTTTATTTTTTATACTGAACTGTATTTCATCCGTGGTTACAACTGAGTGCCCTGATTATGGTCAAATAATTTAACTACACTGTAGCTAGTGGTGTGTTCACTTCACATTCACTTGTTTACATTCATTTATAGAAAAATGAGTGGTTGTGTTTTTCTTCAATTTTAATAAAACCAAGGAGAATATAACTAAGCTATTTAGGAGAAACTCTAAACTCTTCTCTAATTTTACGTAATTTACTTTTGTTTCTAAAACCAGTTAAATATCTGTTACTTTTTTTACTCAATGGTTAGCGTTTAAATTAAATAGTTTTGAATGGTAAAGTGTGTTTGTTATTAAAATATCAATAGCTTAGTATGAAATAGCCTAAATGAAAACGCAAAGTTTGATCAAAATTTATCCACAAACAAGCCAACTACAACATATTATAATAAGTTATTCTCCATAAGAATAACATGGGAATTTTAAATTAACAATGTTTTAAAATTTTTCCGTAACCAATTAAAATATCGTACAAAAACACTTTGATATTGGTAGTCTACTAAATTATTTTTTTTTTAAGTTCTTTGAAAAGGTCTGGAGAAAAATTGATAAATTGTGTGTTTTAAGGGTAAAAAATTAGAAAACCCCATTTTTACCCCATAAAACCCCCCGTTAAACCCCGTTCCCATGCTGGTTTGCGAACTCATTCAAGTTTATCCTGCCTTTACACCTTCAAACCAAACTTTATTAAAATCGGACAAAAATTACTCAAGTTACCGGTATTGTGGGGATGGACACATATATATATATATATATATATATATATATATATATGTACTGTAAGCGTACGACTTGTTTGCGAGCCGGGTGCGCGGGGGGAGAGCGGTACCAATCTCCCACCACGCAGCCAAAGTTTCCGTAGCATTGGTCGGACTACGCTTTCTAAAAACATTCGACCAGCGCTGTTCGCGTTGTTTTCCTTTTTTGCGTACATTTTTTTAGAATTTAAATTTGAATTTATTTCTAATACCATACAATGTAATTACTAAGGGTTTTATATTATTGTTTTGGTACTGTATTAGAGTATTTTATTTTCATATAACTATTTTTTTTACTTATTTAAATGTACACCAAACGGTGAAGCCATATTAGGCATATATTCCAATTTAATTGCTAAGTTTGACTTTTTAGGTGTAAATTATTAATTTTTATAGATCTAGAGTTTATAGGCGACATCTTAAGATATAGTATTTTATGTAAAAACACTAACAGATATACCTATAAACAGAAAACCATAAGGCTTAGTACATATCATTATGGAAACTTTTGCTTATTTTCGTATTATGTACAATAAATAACACCTTAAAAATTCGAACGGGTTTTCCGAACACCCTTTTAAACAGTTAGTGGCTTGCAGTTATTTATTTTATATCCCTAAGTTGATAAAACGAAAGTCGGTCTCTTAATGTTGCACGTAAAGTGTTTTATGACACTATTTTATGACCGGACGAGTATTGTATTCTATCGACTGTCAGTTTATTGGACTGTGCTGTTTAGATGAGTAGTGCGGTTGAGTAATTAATGAATGATTGTTATGCCGTGGGTTGAAAAAGTGTCATGCTAGGCTAACATAGATTAATATCATGGCAACCGCCCGTAAAAAAGGGTAAACCATTCACAGAGAAGCAATGGAAATATTATAATACCAACAGGTGCCGTGTGTTGGTGTTACGCATCCGCTGGGAGTAGAAGTAGTATAGACAACATTTTTAGGGCGACTAGTAGCAGATCGCCAAGCGCCCGGCTGTGGTGGGGGCCCCTCCTGGCTAAGGAGGCAGTGGAGGGGCCACGCGCAAACAAGTCGTGCGCTTACAGTAAGTTATTTATCTCTATATAATACAGTAAATATTTGCCATAGATATATATCCCTCCGAGCGTCACTCGTCAAAAAATCGACTCACGACACACTTTGTGTAGTGTCACGCGTCGATTTTTCGACGCACGAACATCGTTTACGGCGAAGGCTCTATGACTGACTGAATCGGATTGAACTGGATCGAGTTAGGTATCGTTCTTTTCATTAGATTCTAAGCTTTCTCCAGAGGTCTGTCTCTAAGCGCTTTATGTTCTCCGAGCCGATCGTAATTGTAGCAGACAGCTGACGTTCGTGTTTTAGACAACTTGGTTATTTCACATCGGTGACTTGTGTGTTTTTGTACGTTTATCGTCGTTTTTAGTGTTAAAAATGGACAGTAGTGATAAGAATAAGAATCTTTATTACCCTTTAAACATTTTACAGTGCAATAGGGTTCGTCATTTGCTACATAATATTAAAATGTAATTAAATATTTCACATGAAATAGTAACAAAAATAATTTTATCAAATAAGTTAAGACAAGCTGGCCTGGTTATAATCTAAAATCTAGTCTAATGGCAGGAACATGGTGAAACATAGGGCAAAAAATATGAGCAAAATACAAGTCAAAATAGAACGAGTACATAGAAACAATACTAACATGGCAAGATGATAAAAATAGATTTTGAAACAAATTAACAAAGGTAAATAAAAATATGACTATATCAAAATGGTTAACATCAGAAACAAGTTACTTAAATAATGTGACTAGAAGGGCACAAAGAATTAAACAAGTTAGGGACATTGCGTTTGTTTTTCAAACATCAATTTTGAAATATCGCTTTTAAAGAACTCATCTAGTTTGTAAAAAGGGTGGCTAGTTAACCATCTGTACAAAGTAGTCTTAAACACATTATAACTAACATGGTGAGAGGTGTAATTAAGTTTGTTGAAAAGTGTTATACCTATGATTTCAAAAGAATTGTTTACCTTACTTAGTCTAGCAAAAGGAACATGAATCAAGTGAGAGCCTCTAGTGTTGTATGAGTGAACATTTTCATTTAAAACTTAACTACTGAATTTCCTTTTAACATGCAACAAACATAGTAAGATGTACATATTTACAACAGTCATTATTTTACTATCAACAAAAAGAGGCCTACAGTGAGCTAGATAGGGTGCATTATTGACAATTCTAACAGCTCTCTTTTACAAAATCAAAACATCATAGACATTACTCCCATTACCCCAGATAAGAAGGCCATAGGTCATGACACTCTGGAATAGAGCGAAGTATACCATTTTAAGGCAACTAATTTCAACACAATCTTTTAATTTCCTCAAGAGGCAGATGACCCAACTGAGTGTTTTGCAGACATTAACTTACTGATTTGGTGGTTCCAAGACAGTCTAGAATCAAGAGTGATCTAGAAGGTTAACAACCTTATCCTTATTGTTCTCATCAGAGCTCTTTAAAGAAAATACAATTTTTTGTGTTTTATCTAAATTTAGTAACAACATATTTGATTTGTACCATTCATTAGCTTCATCAATCATGTGACTTAATTTAAAATCAGTTTCACTAGCATTTGAACTTGGACCAAAAAAAGTTACATCGTCTGATATACCTAATGCACTAGAAGACGATATTAGTGATGTTGAAGGCTGACTTATTGACGATCCGGATGAAGTTGGTAGTGACATTGATGTTAATTATCAGCCAGATTCCTAGCTATGGTTAGGCTATGCATTCTTAGCTAAACGCTATGTACTGAAATCTGTTTTTTGCCCATAACTTATTTATTTGCAAATCTACTTCCTTATATTATTATATATTTGTAATCCTCATAAAATTTAGAACAAAGTGGCTATTTTTAAATATTTATAGGCCTATAATTTATAGCCTACAATTTCATTGAGCGCGAACTTATTTTTTTTTTTCAATTTTTCCAAAATAATTTTTTTTTACCTAAAAAAATTTTTTGAAACAAATATTTCTTATGTTTGATGTATGATATTGAAGCCCATGATTTTCCAAACAAAATGGTATATAGAACAGTAGAATTAACATTGTTTTAAGCTTCTCAGATCCGTTTTAATAAAACCTTGCAAATGCGCCAAAAATAGGTGGACATTAAGGCCTAAACTATGGACACTCGGAGGGATATATATATATATATAAGTTAAATATATCTCTATATACATAGGCCTATATAAAAATTTGAACGAAAGGTGTTTTTGCCTCTGGGGACATCAAAATAAAAAAGTAAATCGGTCCCGGGCCTAGGTCTTACCATGAGACCTACGGTAATAGCTACTTCCCTGTAGGGAAATTCGCTAAAACATCTTTTTTAGGCATCGCCTAGGCCTACTTTAAAGAACTTGGAAACTTGCAAAAATTGAAGTTTTAAAAAGTGTTAAAGAATTGGCTACTAACAAACCCATTCTACAAATGTTATGATTATTTTGAGGCTTTGAAGGTTGAAAAATTATGTAGTGAATGGACCCTATATATGATATGCTATGGTATGCCTAATTTATTTACCTTTTCATGGTTTGCTGTTTAGACTTGCAGTTTTGTTTGTTTTGTTTCCTTTTATATTTAGTTTTATTGATTTTTTATTTTACTGTGACGTAGCCTATTGTACAAACTTAATGGCCTAATAAAATCTTTGAATCTTTAAAATTTTTAATTTGAATGTGAATAACTTACTAACATACTAAGAAAACACAGCACCCCTGGCAATTCCGATATAGACAAAACAATCACTTCACTTCGTTCTAGGTTAGGACGGAAATGAAGATGATAGCTGTCGCCTTGATAAGCGTCACTTGGCCTTGAGAATGAGCCGCTCCCCACCACTCGGATGCCGGACTGTAAGTTTACTTGCTTGTAAACCGTCAGATATTTCTGCCGCTCCCTGTACTAGTATAAATGATTGCTTTTAATAATAAAGTATAATAATTAAAATAAAAGTGTAGGATGTTGGCGTAAAATGGCACCAAAACCATAAGTATAAGGACAGTTTGAAAATGTTAAATAATAGTGTGATGTAATACCAGTAACAACAAAGTTTAAGATCAGATTTTAAAAATTTCAAAGGAGTTGCATTTATTTTTTTTAGTAAAGAAAATGTCCAATGGGGAATGGCTTTAGCTCAAATTTCAGGTTATTACTAGATCCCAAAACAATTAACACTTGTTTGGGTTTATAAAAATGACTACAATGATGTACACAAATGATTTCGTATTTTAATGAGTTTTGAGAAGCTAGTTGACCATCTTAGCAGCCAGAGAGTACTCTCATCATACACAGGCAAAAGCCCATGTGATGATTTTTATATTCCCACTTTGTAATGCTGCTATTATCATTGTCCAATTCTGTACAATGATTTTATTTGATTTGGATTTGTAAAACGTTTTAGTTTATGATTTCAGTTCAGTTTTAATTTAGCAGTTTAATTAGAAATGATGCTCACATTAGTGTATTCTAAAGCAAACAGCTTTGACATTGTTTCCTATTGTAAAGTGTAAGGTGAACAGTCAGCAAAGGTAACAAACGATGAATCTGATAGGGAAAACACCAAAAAGGGGAAAACACAAGGCTTCACCTGAAACTGGCAAAGATCCTTTCTAATAGACTGATATACCTGGTGTCCATAAAGTCCTGACAACATTTTGTTATGTAATAAAATGAAAACCATTAGACATACAAAAGTGAGATTTTATTTTTTAGAAAGAGCATGGAAAAAAGTTTTATATACAATTCATATAACATTAGTACTCTTCCACATGTGACCCATTTGTGTCCTGTAGAATTTCCAGTCTAAAGTCAATCTCCTCCCAAGTACTTGCCAACATCGCTCTCCAGTGATTGTTGAAATTGCTTCTCTGATCCTGGTCTTCAACACGCCCCATTTCTGAGACAGGTGTAGCATAAACCTTGTCTTTCACAAAGCCCCAAAAGAAGAAGTCTAAAGGTGTGATATCTAAAATAGTTGTTATCTACATGAATGAGATCTAAAATTAGCAAAAGAAGCTCGGTAAGGGTAATCATTCGGTTTCAAAAATTGCAATAGTTGAATCTTGTATGCGCTTATTTTGAGTTTTTTACGCAAAATCTTATGTACAGTGGTAAACCAAGTTCCCTGGAAGCTTTGCGAACCGATGTACGTTGACTGCGTGCGAAGCATTGTCTAACGACATCAACGGTTTCTTCTGTAATTTTAGGCCTACCTGAACGCGGCAGGTCCACAACACTTCCATTGTTCTTGAAGTTATTAAACCAACGAATAATTTATCTATAGTTTGGAGCTTGCCTCCCATAGTGCAATATGAACTGTCTTTGAACGTAAACGGGTGAATTAGACTCGTGAAGATACAAAACACATTGAGCTTTTTCTTCCTTAGTAGCCATTTTTACGACAGACACAATAATTGTAACTTTTGTTTGGTATCACACTTAACAATGAAATTATGTGTTACCAACATATACAAACAAAACTTGATAAAATCAACTGTTAAACAACATATATAAAACATGTATAATCCCATCAATTCTGCGAACAACAACTATTTCAAATGTTGTCAAGACTTTATGGACACCCGGTATTCTAAAAGCAGAATCGATGAGATTTGTTCAGGTGGAAAAGAGTGTTAAATTAGTATTGTGTGAAATGATTATTTTAGCAGCACTTTTACTCGTAATCATATGGATGTTCATGGATTAATCTAGAAAAATCGAGGTGATAAGTCTGCCTCCGTACCGCGACCGGTGATAGTAGCTTTAAATGTTTTCGTACGTTATGTCTGTGAATTTGTTTAAATGTTTGAGTAATCATTGAAAGAGCCGATTTGCAAACTATGGAAACATAGGAAAACCATAGAATTTTTTAAAGAATTTATTGTTATTGTGAACAACATAATGCGGCTATGAGTGGGAAACATTTGTAGAACACACTAAAAAACAAGATCAGCTTTTGAAAAATGATAGATATTTAAAAGAAATGTTGATTATATCAAACTGCTATGTACATCGTGAGTTTTCCATAATCTTTTAGTCGCCTCTTTTAAGGTCATCGGAAATTATGACTGTTATTCTTTTTAAAATAACGCCTGTAATACATCGCAATTGCTCAAATTCGAGAAACAGGTACACTAGTATGTCTTATTTATGGAAATATTTTTGTTAAAATGTAACCAGACAAGTTGAAATTTGCTTAGTCTGTAGGTTTGCTGTGTGGTGGGGGTATTTGGTTTTTGTTTCTTTCCCACCTGAGAACGGGATTAGATTCTGAAACGTCGTGACAACTTTGTTCTATACCAAGGAAAATGTCTGTAATAATTTATTAGTTAATTGACAAAATATTTAAATTAACTGTAATTGTAACAGTTTAGGTCTTCTAATGAGTTGAAGTTTATATTCTTGGTAAATAAATAAAAAGCAAAAACATTGTGATTGTAATACATTTATTCTTTGGAAGTAATAAACATGAAAGGTGCTACAATATACAAAACAGTTAACTCGCAATTTAACTGAAAGAGTTAGGAACTACTTATGGTACTTATATTTAGTAACGGATCTATTATGCTTCTTCTTGAAAGGCAGGAAAATTTGTTTATACTAAAATTAACAAAGAACAAGTTGTAAAGAAATTCCAACACATGTTAAACCTGTCTTTGAAATCGTTCATGACCCAAATATTTTTGAGTCAATAACAAAAAGCACCTAACTTGTAGTGATTCCAAATAATTCGTCACTAACTGTTATAAAAGTATTTTTTAATCGTTGACTAGACTACAAAAATTGAGCTGTAAACATTTTAACTGTCTTGCATTTGTCTATTCTGACAAACTAGAAAAAAAATAGACTTCCAATTACAAAGATCATTTTCAAGAGTTGTATTAACTAACTACTTAAATAAAATTACATTCTTCCAACTAAAGCCAAAATAGCAAAGATTCCATGTGAAACACTTTTTAAACAAACTTTGTTTGGCGACATTTGTTTGATCTTTGACTATCAGTTTAGGTAACTAATTAAAATGAGCAACCTTATAAAAGTAACTTAACAATTAGCGATTATGAGCATTAAGCGATATTGAGAACCTTAGTGAACTAGCCAGATGTGTCCAAGCTGCCACGTGAAATATCAACATTGAATTCCAATAACATAGATAATTCACAATTACACAACCAAGTTTGAATAGTTTCCAAATGAGTGGAATGTGCCTAAGTACAACCTTAACAATTAAATAAAAAAATACTGTTTTAATTTATGGGTATAATGCATATCCTTTAACCCTCCCAGTGTTACTTGACGAAAATTCGGCAAGCACCACACTTTGTATAGTGTTACTTGCCGATTTTTCGACAAGCAGACATCGTTTACGGCGAAGGCTCTATAACTGACTGAATCGGATTGAACTGGATCGAGTTAGGTATCGTTCTTTCCGTTACATTCTAAGCTGTCTCCAGATGTCTGTCTCAGCGCTGTATTTTTCTCCTAGCCGATCATAATTGATGCAGACAGCTGACGTGCGTGTATTTGTAAACAGCTAGGTTCCCCCGGACCGATGACTGATGTGTTTTATTACGTTTATCATTGTTTTAGTGTTAAAAATCAAAAGTAGTGATATACGTGGTGCATTATAAGAAGATTTATGTGGTTTTGAAGTGCTGGTTGATGATCCTGAAGAAGTAGGTAGTGATATTGATGTAAATTATCAGCCAGATTCCTAGCTATGGTTAGGCTATGCATTCTTAGCTAAACGCTATGTACTGAAATCAGTTTTTTGCCCATAACTTATTTATTTGCAAATCTACTTCCTTATATTATTATATATTTGTAATCCTCATAAAATTTAGAACAAAGTGGCTATTTTCAAATATTTATAGGCCTATAATTTATACAATTTCATTGAGCGCGAACTTATTTTTTTTTTTGAAAATTTTTGAAATTATATTTTTTTTACCTAAAAATTTTTTTTTTTTTTTAAATGTTCCTTATGTTTTATATATAATATTGAAGCCCATGATTTTCCAAACAAAATGGTATATAGAACATTAGAATTAACATTGTTTTAAGCTTCTCAGATCCGTTTTAATAAAACCTTGCAAATGCGCCAAAAATAGGTGGACATTAAGGCCTAAACTATGGACACTTGGAGGGATATAATTCCCCAACTTTCCCCATACTTAATAAAAACACAAAGCAGTTTTCAATATGTCAATAAGCCGAAAAGAATACAACAAAAAGCAAATCTATACAAAACCTATAACATTCAATAGGTAAGCAGGTATCAATAAGTGAATACTCTACGTATATATGGTACCAGTGCCACTAAATAATAAATCGATATTCATTGTAAACTAATAGGAATAACTAGTGGCTTGTAGGGGCAATAGCCCCTATATACTATATATTCTAGTAATTATTTTGCACAAATTATTAGTCTCATGGGTTACCCTACCCTTAAAATTTGGAAAAGGTCTATACATATTACAGTACAGTACATATATTACCATATGCTTTCAATAAAGTTAAACCACATGTTTTAAAGAAGGTAAACAAAGCAGACATGACCTAGATTCCCATGCTATTTAAATGTGAATTATTTTATTACGTAAGAACCTTTTGGTGCATGATTAAGAAAAATGAATAATTTTCCCCAAAATTTCATGCCCAGACCTTTAAAATGAGACCTCTCCCAGCTTTCTACGACCTCCCGTTCGCTCACAATTTCATTGTAAAATTTTGGGCTTACGGAATTAGATATATAGATATGCTTTAAGTCAACAAATCACAATAATACTGTAAGCAAATTAGTATAAGCTTCGGAAGAGTCAAGTAGACAAGAGATAAGCTTCAATCTTTTGATACATAAAATTAGGTGAAAACATGTAAAACAAAAAAACATAAAAAAACTCACCTCGTTTTGTTAATTTACAATGGCAATAGTTCTTTTTTTTTAAAGTTGTCCAAGAGTCAGTGACCTAGAAAATTACACTATACAATAATAACTTAATTCATTTCTTATAGCCATTCATTTTAATGCGATAGACAGCTCCCATACTAGTTTAAGAAAAGTGAAGTCTGCCACTCAAAAGCTTTTTTTTTTGTTCACCGTTCTTTAAAATTCATCGTTATGTGATGATTATACATCAGTTTTTATGAAGATTGTTTAATATTCTAGCCTGTTTGGGACTGGCTATACCTATTTGGTGTTAAACAGTTTTCTGAAGTATGTAGATGGTAATACATTTCTGGCCGCAGAAACTTCTATCAGATCAACATTTCCAAGGCATTAATTGATTCAAGCTTCATTCAAAAGACTAAATATTATTAGTTATGCATAAAACAGCTTCTAAATCAATTATAAAGTGATTTGATCCATTACCAGGACGAATACAAAGCATATTGTTTACAAGTTAGAAGTTACATTTAATTAGTCCTACATCTATATTTTGCTAACGATTACAAAATACATCCTACCCCACTCCTAAGAGTTGGTTAAAAGTAAGACCAAGAAAAACACCTTGGCAGTCATCGTTTCAACTTAGGCACTTTTGCCTCATATAAAAACTACAATACAAAATGGAGGACAGATGATCGTTTTGGAACGTTTTGCAACAAAGTAACTTAGCATATATCACATTGCTTTCGCCCAACCATGTAGGCTTACGGTTCGTAAGTACCAAGGTGTGCCTTGCACTTAGGACAAGTATGGACTACGAGACTCATGGAATCCATACAGTACGGAATACAGGAGCATAAGCAGCATCTGAAAATAACGGTAAAGGATTAGTTATACTACGATATAGATTTTGAATCCATATTCTACTAAGTATCTGTTGTGTATTTATGAGGCTTGCGATTGAAAAGAAAAAGATAGACAGACAATGACGTACAGGCCAATCGTTAATTAGGACTTGAGAAAATGGTACGGGGAATACAAGTTGGAGGGATGTGATTTTAAGGTACATTAACAGTAAACCAAGATAAAAAGGGATCATGAAAAAAGAGATCAGATTAAGGGTAGTTGAAAACAGCTTAGGTGGGTCAATACAGAGAGCAAAACTAAGACTGTATTGACACAAAAACGCAAGAAGTTATGATTCTTAGCAAAACAATGGAGGAAAGGGCGTATGGATATAAGATGATTCACTGGGGAGGAGAGGAATGAGAGTGTAGATGGTGGAGGAAGAGAAAAGGAGAAGATTTGGAATCACCTTCTTGACTTCCAAATCCAAAGGGAGGGAAACAGAATGCATGAATGTACAAATGCAAGGATTGTTTGTGCATTGTCAGAGACATTAAAAACAGGAAATAAAAATACTTTAGGCCTATTCTTAATTTAGGATTACTGTTCAATACTAAATTGTCAAAACCTTACTTATAGTCATTGAAAGCTTTGCTACCCACCAAACAGTTTAGACCATTTCTAAAGAAAACCATTGAAAAATTGCCCATGAAAATGAATAGATGCTACTAAAATAATCATGTTTTGTTACAAAATTACAAGCTGTAGAGACTTTTCAGTTTTCACATAGTTAGTATTATTTAAAGAAAATTAAGTAAAAAAATTACCCAACAAAGCAGAGGCCGAGGCAAATCAGATGAGCGAGAGTTTTGGACTTTTTCACAGTCATCGTCTTGATCGTAGAGTTGCAGTTTGGGCACGTTGTTCTAAGCGGCTGGCGACCGACGAGTAAAGGGGTAACTCCCACTACCACTGTGTTACCTGTGCAGATAATCACATTTACGAACCACGATTTTCAGAAATTGTAAAAACGTGACTAAGTGTTTTTGCAAAAAGGTGCAAGTAATTATTAAATATATTTCATGATTATCTAGCATGTCTCAGATTACTTATGTTTATAATAATCTGGGTAGCTGAGAGGTTGTAGTGCCTGCCTTCAAATCTGAAGGTCACCGGTTTGATTCCAAGCGAGACCAAGATGCCATTGTCATTTGGCTATCATTTAATGTTGCTATCCATCTAACATATGGTCTATATTACGAAGTAACTAGAGCAGGGTTTAGATGGTCCTGTACCTTTTCAAAAACGTTAAAAAATTACAATTGGGTTGAAACACACAAAACTAAAAATAACGGAAATTTAGTTAGCCTATCAACGATAATCTTAAAACCATCTCTTTGGAGCTGTTTGGAACTTTGATCTCTATAAGCCTAATCAGGCCCATGGTGGAGATACCTGTTTGTAAATACCTTTCTGAATGGAGTAAAATCCACGCATAAGTTATATAAATAATAGGTGGAATCATTGGACTATATAGAATGATAGAACTTAGAAAAACTAAATTTTTGATTCACAGCCCTTCATTGAAGAGGATGTTCTTATGGGATTGAGTTCAGTTAGGGTAGTACAGTATGTAGCTTACCAGAGATAACTGGAGGAGTTTAGAGAACCAAAATATCACATAGCTAGGCCTTAATTGATTTTTAATCCTATACTAGGATGCAATTTCACGGTTTTTACTATTTATATGTTATATCGATTCCTGCTTACTGACACAATAATCCAGGCTTCGATTCCCATTGGATTATATTCATTGACTTCATTGTGCTACTCACAATGTTAACACAGTTTTATTACCAAACAGTTTCTCTGTAACCTTTTTTCAAGAGGTTGGCAGCCTCTTTTACCTTGCATTTGCTCGTCCACATGTGCCACAGAGGCCAGTGCGTGGAACGTATTCAGTAATATAGGACTGAGCCGGTACAGTGCAGTACTGATTTTTGACCGAGCCTAGCTAAGGCCTCTTTTATGCACGTTATACACGGCGTTTTCCGTCGGGCGGAATCTATCAGAACACTTTCCGTCGGTGAGTGTTTTAGCATGGGATCAAATGGGACCCTTTTATGCACGACGGAATCTCCGTCGCGTTTCAGAATTCCGACGGAGGCCGACGGAGGACTTAGACTCCGCCGAGTTTCGGCGTTTCGTGGAGCGTGTTTTTACATAGGTTCAAATGGAACCCTTTTATGCAACTGCGTTTTCCGTCGGGCGGAATGTAGTGCTGCCAACCTACCCCACGCTCTGTCATCCACAGTATTGAAATCACCTACGGTAATCATAGTAAATAGAATATCATTATTCATTCTAATTGGTTAAAGAGTACAAATAATGTGATGTAATTAGGGAAAAAATTACTGCATGAGAATTAATTACATTTATGTTTAAATCCGCGGGATAATACAAACTTACTGTTTCGTAACAACTTCTCAAACTTTTCCCCATCATTTCGCAGCAACCCATATAGGTTTGTGAAAGCCCCATCCACCCTACGACTTTCATTAACCGGGTGTACAGCTCATCTCCTTCGCCGTCGTCTATTTCTCTTCATGTACAAATAAGTATACACCAATACACAAGGATCCATCTTGGGTCACTGACGATGGCAAAATGAACGAAGTTGGTAGCACTGAACACCCCCACCACGGGCATCAGCGGATTCCGCTCAGCGACGAAACTGCATAAAAGGGACATCGATTCCACCCGACCGAAAACGCCGTGCATAAAAGAGGCCTAAGGGATTGTATTCTATACAACGTGTAACGACCCAAAACCCGTCAAGGGGTAATAATCACACCCGCCGTTACCACCGCTCCCACCGTTACCACTACATCTGCCGTTACCACTTCAACGTTTGTCACTACAGTTAACACCCGTGGGTCTACGGAATCGTCCGTGCCGCGCACACCGTTTGACGATCCGCGCGTCGGGTGGATTTATAGACTGAGCAAAGAGGAGCTGCAGAATGAGATGAGTAAATACGGCCTTTCTACGGCAGGTACGGCAGAGGAACTTAGGAAGAGCTTTGTGGATTTTTGGCGATCGCCATTATCCGCAATTACCCGTACCGAACCCTACCGGACCGTTGACCCTCCACGCACTCTTAATATCCCGACGGCGAATTACGGGTCGGAATACGCGTCTAAGGACAAGCTAGGCTTACATCCCGCCCTAGACGAACGTGACAGTGTACGGGAGATACTTGGGTTGTCACCGAATGCGGACTCTACGCTTGTGAAACGGGTCCTTGCCTCAATGGTGAATACCTTGAGGTCCAACGACGCGACTCCCACGGGACACTACGCGACCGACACGGTTCCCGCTCACGCCGCACCCCCTACCACAATTTATGCCGATCTGTGCTACGGTGCGGTACCACGTCCTAACGCCTCGGGAACTCGCGAGTTGCGCGATGCCGATCCACCGAGCCACGCAGGCCCTTCAAGCCGCCAATCGCTAGACGGAGCCTCCATTTACAACGTCGTTCGTAAGTGGAACCTTCGTTTTGACGGTCGCAAAGACCCGGTATCGTTCCTGGAACGCTTGGAGGAGCTAATGGAGGCGTATTCCTTAACTCCAGACCAGGTCTTCAGGGCTCTGCCAGAACTGTTGACTAGCAACGCCTTGTTATGGTACCGCAATAACCGGGAAGCGTGGGCCGATTTCCAGGATTTTCGTAGCCATTTCGAAATCCAATATCTACCACTCGGTTATCGCCGTAACTTGGACGAAGAGATTCGTAAGCGGACACAGGGTGACCAGGAGCCGTTCAGAGATTTTGTAGTCGCGTTAAGCACGCTAATTCGAAGGAGAGGATCCATTTCGTCCCACGATAAGATTGACTTGATTTATACGAATATGCGACCCGAATACAAGCTTATGGTTCGACGCCAAGACTGCTTGACTCTGACCGAATTGATTAAGCGTGCCGAGGAGTACGAGGCCTACGTTAGGGATAAGAGCACGTTTCGTCCTCCACCCCCTCCGGCTATCTCTCTCATTCCCGAAACCGCGTATCACGGGCGAAGACGATCTGAACGTCCGGTCAATAACGCCGCAGTCACTGCTGAGTCACCGCGCGAACCGAGCTCCCGGACCTACCCGCAGCACCAGAGGTACGACCGCGCGCGGCAAGGACCGAGTTTGCGACCCAAGGCACAAACCCTATCCGTGCCCAACTCCCACACGAATGTGAGAGGGGTGGCACTGGAGAGAACCGTCCACGTCAACAACCAGTACGTTTGCTGGAATTGTGACCGTACGGGACACTTGTTCCGCGACTGCCCCGAACCAAGAACATGGAGGTGCTATTATTGCAAAACCAAAGGCATCTCGACCGCAAAATGCAATTGTAAGGCGGGAAACGCACACAGGATTAAGCTAAGGAGGGGGCGGCTGAGTCCAAATCCCCGATCCGGAACAGAGCCACCCCATCGACCCGCGGTTGCCACGGTCGCGCTGGTGGAGGTATCCCCAGCCACCCGTCGCAATGCTCCCGCCGATACGCCTCACACCCCGATTGCCACCGCGTCCACTAGCCGGCCAGTGCCACAGGAGGTACGCGACCTCCTGTCCAATTTACCGTTGGAAGACACGGGGCGGCGAAGGAAAAATCAGAGGATGAAGGTGTTCAGGGGAGATGGAACGTTTTTCCGGGTCCGCACGAATAAGCTGCGGACAATGAAGGAAATATATTGAGGCGACGTACCCAATTTAAGAAGAGTTTCGATTTCGTTATTTTCTTGCTCAAGAGTGTCGCAGCAGACACCGACAATACCCTAGGTTTGGGTATTTTTTTTTCTTTTTCCGTTTTTCTTTTTTTTCTCTGCGAAGTAAGAAGGGGGTGTAACGACCCAAAACCCGTCAAGGGGTAAAAACCCGATTTTTAAAAGTTTCATATTAAATATTATAATTGTCTACGTTCGGGTTAAGCCGCGCCCGTGTTGTCAGCGGCATCGTAGGGGCAATGGTCCTACGTCATCGTAGAGGGGATGACGCTAGTTACCTACCCCGCCGCCAGGGGCGATGGCAAAGAAGGACCAGAAGAGCAGTACCACACAGTACCTCACGGTCAGTCGTCCACCCGCTACCGAACCGTCAGTACGCTTGCTGTTTGGAGACAATCCAACAGTCTATAACCTCCTAAATTCTGGTCAATTAAAGATTTCCCCCGTTCCTGGTAGAATCATAAGTCATCAGGTTAGTGTGCTACCGAATTTATTTTGTCATTTATTTATTTCTCATTTTTGGAGAAGTTTTATTATTTTTATTTTACTGTGCCGCAGTCGCGCGCACCCCGCACGCTTTTTCACGTACGAGCACACTACCTTTTGTCTTAAACCAGCTTAAGTTGCCAGAACGGTTTACGTACGACTTACCCCGTTACCCCGGACCGTCCTACGTAAATTTGGTTTAAGAAACCCCGTACCGACTCTGGTGATCGACCGAGTTAAGTTTTCCCCGACACGTTTACTTTGGTGATTACCAAGTATAACGACCGAGACTCGTTTTAGTTAAGTTTCTAATTAATTAGGTCATCCGCATTCTCGATAATTTATTCTAAATTCTAAATTTAACTTCACATTTTTTCGAGTGGCTATGATGAGCACTTGCTAAGGGTAAGCTTAACATTGTAAGTATTATTGTTGTAATTAATATTCTGAGCCAATAAACTCGAAACTATAATTAATTAACGAACACGTTAGAGTCCTGGACTATCTCATAGTAGGCTAAGCTATCTGGACAAATTTAAGGTGTGACCTAATTTCAGGTGAGACGACAATCACGTACTATAAAATCTCAATTTTGTCTCTCAACCCGAAATTTCGTCATAAACGTACTTATAGGCAATAAACAACTTGAATGTGATTCCACTCACCTCCAGTGACTTGTACAGGCTGAGGATATTGTGGAACGGACGGATACAAAGATTGGCCGGCCTGTTGGGGCGTCTCATGAATTACTGGCGTCGGCTCTGAACAAACACATTTAACATAGGTAATTATCGTCTCAAAAACATAGAATAAGGAAACTCCTCATGAAAATTCCTGAAAAAATCATGGTGTTTAACGTTAAAGCTAATTTCAGTACTTTTTTTGTAGCCTACTATCAAGTTTCCAGACAGTAAGCTGATGCCTATTTTACTAGAATATTTCATTTAGATTGTTTATGGTGTCACAATAGTAATCCTAGTGTTGTAGGCCTAAGTTATTAACCTCAACACTTTGAAAAAATTTGTATGATGGCCTTACAATTTTTGTTATAATAAAACTTCTATCTCAAAATTGAATAAGTTAGTTCAATATAGGTATTTATAAATGTCTTGGGTCAAAAGTTACCATGTATTGGGAAAATTTACCTTTCAAAAATTAAAATTGTTTAACTAGGCCTGCATATGATAAGTGTACGTAGTCCTTTCTATGTTAACTCTACTAATAGAATATTAATATTATAGGACTTCAAATAATGTTTATTAAATTAAAATTAAAAATCCCAAGTAAGACCCGTAAAGTATAAAAACCATCCCTTAAATCTCCTTGTGATTAAGTAATTAAGCTGTAAACTATGCCAATTATATTGATACTTAAGTGTATCTGTTACATTTATAAAATTGACCATGACAAAATCTGTACATACAAAACTGATAATTTTTCACAGTTACATTTACCGTATATTTGAAGCACTTACGGTATTGATAAGGAGGTGCCTGAGTAGCATCACCATAAGGGTTGTATGGTGGTTGGGCATCATAAGGTGGAGGGGGAGCCGTAGGTAGAGGTGCTGTCGGAGCAGGTTCGTATCCTTGTTTACCCATTTTGCTGAAAAATACATTCAAAGTTATAAAAAAATGTTTTAAAACCCCTGTTAATGCATCTAGCCTATCTAATCAACCACAAAACAAGTTATTGGTGAACATTTCTACTTAATGCCCACAAAATGTTCATGTTTACTTAATAACATCGGCTTGCATGATCACAATGTCTAAATTCATCTCAAGGACAGACTTCGTGAATAGACAAAAGATTAAAACGGAATACAAAATGTTTTCAGTCCATTCATTAAATTAAATTAATCTTATCTATACAAGTTGTGTTGTTTTAAGGTTCCATACAATTCCAATCAGATTCGAATGAGAGATATTAGGAACTAAACTTACTTATTTATTAATACAATTTAATACTAAGGTGTGAGTCATACAATGTCATACTTGTCCTGTAACTGTGCGCACGCGGTTGGATATTGTAAATTTTTTTCCAAAGGCCTTCTTGTTTTTGTATCGTATAAATGACTTCGTTTGTAAGTTAGTAGGCTATGTATCCGTGTTACTTATCCAAACTTTTGATGGCCTTTTCGATGCTACAGTTTTAATGTTCGTACAAGATCTGAAGATGAGGAATTAAGTCAGACTTGAAATGCGTCATCCATGATCATACAGGATTACTCTGGCAGTAAGTTAACTTAAGTTACTCTTGTTATTTCATAACTTTTAGGCCTATAGTTTTTTCAATGATTCGGAGACAAAACAACTATGAAGTCAAAGTATATTTTGATGGAGATTGATATCAAAGTTTCCCTGTGTTTGAAAGGGGTTTAAATCTTCACTCCCACGACACGCACGAACCTGTCCTGGATCTTTTTGAGTCTATGGATCAGGCCAAGTTGGTAGGGGAACCAAACGACACTTCTAAATTCCAGCACAGTTTGCACCAGAGAAATAAACACCATGGCTTCAACACTTCTTCAAACCTCTCCTTGAAGTTATTGATGAATTCCAGCATCCGAGACGCCTTTGACACAATTGAATTTATGTGATCACTAGGGCTGAGGTTGCTTGTCAGGATTACTCCCAGATCGCGGACAAATTCAACCCTCTCCAATGTAGATCCGTCCAGTCTATAGTCGAAGCAGATGAATGAAGACAAACAATGAAATGTGATTATCTGACAATTTTGGGTTTCAACTTCATGCAGTTCTGGGCACACCATTCACAGATCCTCAGCAAGCAGGTTTGCAGTCTATGGCAGTCTTCAATGGAAGTGACAGAGGAGTAGATTTTGATATCATCGGTGAAAAGCAGACATTCAGCATCAGGGATAGTTCTATCAATGATATTGTTTAAGAAGATAGAATAAGAGAAATGGACCAAGATGGGACTCCTGACAAAGCATGAAACGGCTGAGAGATAGCACCAGAATATTTCACAGTGAGCATGCGATCCACAAGGTATGATTTGAACCATCCCAGGAGGCCACTTGAAAATCCATAAGCTTGTAGTTTTGCAATTAGGTGAGCATGGTTTACAGTGTCGAAGGCTTTGGAAAAGTTAAAATAGATGCTGTCTACCTGATAACTGACACGAAAAGGAAGAGCGAATAAAATGGTTATATGTCAAAAGATTTGTCTCAATAGATCTTCCACGGTTGAACCCGTGCTGTTCGTTTCTCAGTATGCTCCTGCAGCTGAAACTGATTTGGTCAATTGAGGACTAAGGATTCACAAACCTTCCCCAGTGTAGATTGGATGACTTATTGGTCTGTAAGATAGTTACTGACATCGGCTATTTCGAAAGACTTTGGAATGGGAACTATAAAGCTGGTTTTAAGACTTTGAGGGGAAACACCCAGGCTTAGGAGACTGTTAAACCTGACAGTTAAATGAGGTGCAAGTAAGTTGCTGCAGTGTTTCAGAACAAGTGGAGGGATGTTGTCAGGCCCGGTGCCTTTACTTGGGTCAAGGGAAGGTAGTTTCTTCCTGACATCGGATTTAAGGAGCATAGGCCTACAGTCTGATAAGCTGATGATCCTTCTAACTCATAGTGAGTGAGATGTTTGACAGACTTTGGTATTTACTATGACTTAGGCTTATACTAACTTAGCCTAAATGGAATCAAGCTGAACAATTGTATAGTCCTTTGGCCTTCAGGGCTTAGGTTACATCACTTTCAGTAATTTAGGTCTAGATTGTTTGTTAGTTAATAGTATTGGTAAGGATACAAGTACTGTATTTTAATGTCAGAACCAGAACCGGTGGTGTTCAGATCTGGAAATGAAATCCTATGATTTAACTTGAATATTTTTTTAAGGGAGAAAAATGCTAAGTTATAAGTGTAAACAAGTATCCATACTGCAAATCGATAAGATGAGTATATTTGACTTACCCAATCGGTTTCTTGCTGATGGGACAGTTAAAAGTAATTAGGCACAAGATTATCTTTCTCAGTGACTCATTCAAGGTTTCTGAGAAGCAGACGCAGACACTAGACAGCAGACTAAGCGAATTAGCAGACAAAAGTCCTTCGAAATGTCATAACATCCTTCTGTCGTCACAAGACATAACTACAAACAAGCAGTACCAACAAAACAAAACGTAATAAATTCCTTGGAATCTCGAATCGGCTTGATGTTTTACCATTGACTATTACACTAGTGTTTATATAGTCAATGGTGTTACACATCACTAATTAATAATAACTAATTAATTTATTCTAAACCCAATATTCATCCTATGAGTTATTAAAGGCGGCCGTGGTTATTTAAGGGTGTACGATACACCGTATACAGTATGTAAATTATAACTTTCAATGTAATGTATTTTACCATACTCTATGGTTGTATTGCTGAAAAAATGTTACACCATTTACCAATATCATATCATATCATAATATAACCTCAAACTTAGTCCAAGTTGAAATTGTTATCAGGGCAGAGCAAAGAAGGAGAGATTTTCTGTTTTCATTTTGTTTTAAAGCTACTGTACTACTATTAATTAGCCTTAACCTATTTCTGGATTGTTAAAAATTTATTTAATCCTCTCAGTTTGGTAAAATTTAGGGATCATGAATCCCATTTAGTTTGTCGTAAAGTGGGATTTCTTTAGGTCAAGCATAGACTGGGACAGGGATACTAAATTTATATTAAAAACCTTTGCCTGACTAAGACTAATGTGAATCTTTAATATGGTTCTTTGCCCAGGATTATTATGAGTTGTCTAAAGATAATTTTAATTTTAACCTTACAAGTAAGTATCTCAGTAGTCCTATATAGGCTAACTTAATAGGCTAATTCTATAAGTTACATTGTATCATAGGTCCTATTTCCCATTCCCTTATAACAAGGAGATGATCTTCTTCTAGATATTCTATCAGAATGAGGAGGTTTTTGTTGCTGATTTTACATCTCCTTCGAAGCAGTTTGTCCTGTAAATTTCATAAATAATAGAGCTAACTTAGGACGTGCAAATCATTTTCTGGTCATGGATTGGGGGGCGAACAGCAGAGGTAGCCTACCTAACAGTTCCGCAGAGATCCAAGATCCAACCATATGTTATCGGGTGAATAACGATACATATGTACTTATCGGTTTGATATTAACACCGGTAAGCTTATGGAATTGAATCGAGTACCATAAGTTAACTTATCATACTAATATTATAAATGTAAAAGTTTGTTTGAAGTTCAACCACGCATTAACTGCTGGTCGGATTGGGTTGACAATTGGTATGATGATAGCTCACATTCCCGATTAACGTTAGACACATTCTTATCTCAAAAATCCGCCCCAGTGGCTCTAGAGTTTCCTATGCTAACCGTATGAGTAATTTATGTCATATTTAAAAGGAATTAAAGAATTTTGCCAGTTGTTTAAATTACACAAGTTGGTTCTATGAATTATTCAATAGCATTAAAAGGTTATAACTTAAGGTTTACCAACAGGGTCCAACACTATTGATTCTTTTTGCATTTATGACAACTGCTAATATGAACCAAGCAGCAACAAAAAGCTATGAGAACTTTAACTTACTTTTTTCTATTGTTTAGGTGCAGTGGTAGAACATTATGGCTATGGTAGATTTGCTATGGTACAGTATACAGTATACAGTGCTATGGTATATGGTATACAGTAAATTTTAGCAAACCAAATTTTCTTAAAACGTACATGTCCTCTCCCATTCAAACGCAATGCTTGAGTATAACTGCATTAAGCATTTTATACTTTTACGCCAAACCCGTAGGAAGGTCGGGTACTCTGCTAGTGCCCTATAAATAAAAACAATAACAAAAACATTACCGTAATAAAGCTTTTCTTTTTTTTCATAGCCTACTTTTTACTTTTCATTAGGTCATAATAAAATTTGTTTTTGGTCAGATATTGATACTTAATTTATTAGATAGGCCTATGAATAAAAACGTCTACAAAATCATAAATCAATTTTATGCTTACATTGGGGGGAAAAATAAACAATATTTTGTAACTGATATACTGAATCGGATACCGGTTACCAAATAACATCGATAAGTATTCATCGTTATTTATCTGATTAGATAGCCTATCATTGGTTCTCTGCGGAACTGAACCTGACAGCAGTTACCTAAGTTTGTATTTTTCCAAAAAGATAGCATTGATTTGAATAGCAACATATTTTAGCATCCACATAAGACTACAGTAGCCTAAGGTACTATCAAAAGACTAAACTTAAATGTTTTCTATATGGTGTTTAAGGTATTATCGATCGAGCAACTAAACGCCCATGTACTACATTCCGTCAGCGGAGAAGTGGTTGGTGGGAACTACACGTATTACAGCTTGATGTACAAAGGCCCCATCACATTATATTTGTACTCAAGGTAAGAAGTAAACTTTGGAACATTTTAGAAATAGCCGTGATGTTTTTCTGCTGTTAAACACAATACACTAAAAATAAATCTATTAATTAGGGCCTTGGCCTACTATGAAATAGAACAGTTTTATCAAATATTTTCTATTTTCAGCTTTGGTGATGCAGATCTCTATGTGTCCCAATTTGTGAATAAACCATCATTTGAACCAGATAATTACTGTTTACAATCTTCCACTTGTGGGCTGGATGTTGTTCACATACCAAAAAGGTTAGTTTTATTTTGTGTTTAATTACATAAGTTAATACATCCATACCCAAGAGTTATTTTGTTTATTAATCTGCAAAAGATATTTTTCCTAGACCAGTGGCATATTTTAAGTAAGTCAACCTGGAATTTTTTAAGACCTTTTTCCAAGAGTTTTTGGTATTATCCGGATGCAACTAATTTAAGAGGGATTTTTTTGCCGGGAACCAAAAATAATTTAAAGAAAAAAAACATTTAGAAAGAATATACTTTAATTGACTTACTGTCTAAATTTGACATGATTACGATTAGTGGCCTTTGAGTTCTGCTTCCCAGAAGACAGCGATGTCGGCGAGGATTGAGTTGAATGCGCCGCCGCCGCTATACTCCGCCAAGTAGGTATACAGCGTGCGAGGGTGTTTATGTTAGGTTGGGTTATCATAAATATGATTGTAGGACTTTCCTCGTTTTGTTATGAATTGAACGATACCAGATGAGTCATACTTTCGCCCGTAAAATTTCTCAGATAAACGTGGTGACAGGTGATGCGCACGCTCCGGTCAAAAACCAGGCCTTGGCCTACTTGGAGGGATTTGGCGTGAGAAAGTATGACTCATCTGGTATCGTTCAATTCAGAACTAAACGAGGAAAGTCCTACAAACATATTATGATAACGCAGCCTAACATAACCGCCGCAGCGCGCTGTATAAGGGTGGCTTTCGGATAATATCAATAAAGTACCTAGTTTTTTTAACGCTATTTAAAGGAAAAGCGACCCAAACCCATTAGGGTAGAGTTTTGTAGAATTGAACCCAGGGTCCGTCCCCCACTGAAGTTTTAAAAAACAAATTTTGTATAAAAAATTGATTTTTTCTCTTGTTCTATAAATCATTGTAGGCTATAGGCTAATAAACACTAAACAGAAATCTATTTTAGCCTTAACGTTAAATAAAAGGGGTTTTAAGTGTCAAGAAACAACATAGGTACTTGACCAGTTACTGTAAGCTAATTATTTACTTTTCCTTTTTCCTTACTGGTACCATATAACTTATATTGTATTGTAGACTACAATACTAAAATAAAGTGAATAGAATTCATGTAGCTGCTTGGATTTGGTTTAAATTGACTTTCTTGTGCAGAAATCAGAAATACTTCTAAACGTTATGCAACATTTCTTTTATTTGTCTCTTCCTCGCAAAACATATTTATCCTCTCATTTATATATCTTATATTGGAATTGCATTTCAGCTTCAAAAGACCAGTTGGTATAGCTGTTTACGGACATCCGTCGTACGAAGTTAGCGAGTATTACTTAGAAGTAGTTTACAGGCAAAACAAGGATATTTACGTTTTTGAAGAGGACGAGGAAGATCAAGAAGGATATTTTGGACAGGAACAGAAAATAGATAGAGAAGAAGGTGATCAAATCACAGAAGAGGTAGGGTATCCATAATGCACACTAATAAAATTCCTCCCCTCCTGTTGTCAGTGTATGTACTATAAATAAGGGACCTTCATTGATTTAAGATACTTAGTTATAAAGCCATTTAGGTGTTATTTTAAATCACCTACAGTTTTAAATTTGTAAACAATTAAATATTACTTACAGTAGCCTACAATAAATTACTTATTACTTAGGCCTAGACTGACTTACAAAAGACCTAACCCTAATTTTCCGGTAGTCTAAAAAAAAGTCTAAATAATTTATTAAATACTAAACGTTACATAAAATACATATGTGGCATTAACAGGTTTCTCGTCCATTAGCCTAATTATAATCTTGATCTATATTTGCACGGTAAAATAAATACTTCATCTAGACTTAACTTATATAGGCCTAGTTAGAAAAAAATATTCATACAACAAAACATAGACAAATACTACAACAACATAAATTACAATGTTCTTATCTAGGGATGTTCCGATACTTCCGAGAGGTATCAATACTTACTTTCAATATTCAGAATATCGGGATCGCTTTTTTAATATTATTGAAGTAGCAAAAGAAATGTTGGAGTATCTGTATTGAGTATCCAATAATATCGGGTATCGATACTTTTGATTCGATTCTGTTTAGACTAAATATCGGTTGCAAGCCAGTATCGTAACGTCTCTAATCTTATATAGAAGACCATTCAAATGAGGATCAATCTTTTGATCCATTCTAAATCAAAGAAATTATGCTGCCGCTGGGTAGTGATCAGCTGTTATGTCATGTTGTTTACACAGTGTGGTTCCCACAAACGTAATGAATAAGAATTTGTCTTGCTTATAGTTTAATTACCTCACCTCAATATGTTAACTAACCACAGAGTTTTAAACCATGTGTTTTACAACTCCGTGTAATAATGAAACTTTTCCGCCGAGGAATTCCTAATACCTACTTTTAAAGAATTGATCACATTATTAATTGATATTCATTAATAAGTCACCAAGCAGGCATTGATGATTACCTCTTTGCCTAAAGGTTTTAGGTTACCACCTGTTTATGTGGGAAAAGTCTGAAGTGTAAATAAATTGGCCTAACTTACTGCAAGTTTTTTGCTGCAGGAAGTATAGCAGATTCTAATGTCAGAATGTGAGGCTTCTTTGTCAATACGTATTTTGGCTCAATTTTAAGTGCTGGGGATTTTTTTATTGATATTTAGGGGTAGCGGATTTCTACCCCCGGATATTTACCCCCATGAAAAAACGCCTACGTCATTTTGACGTCACGAGGGGCGGGGCCTATACACAGTCGAGAAACAGCCCGCGACTGGAAATTTACCCCCAATATATTATTAAATAATCAACATGTAATTGTTTGATTATAAAGTGATTTGCCATAGCACGGAAATCTACCCCCGGATATCTACCCCCAGACATTTACCCCCGGATATCTACCCCCGGACATCTACCCCCGGATATCTACCCCCGGAAATCTACCCCCGGACATCTACCCCCAGATATCTACCCCCGGACATCTACCCCCAGACATCTACCCCCGGATATCTACCCCCGGACATCTACCCCCGGATATCTACCCCCGGAAATCTACCCCCGGACATCTACCCCCAGATATCTACCCCCGGACATCTACCCCCAGACATCTACCCCCGGACCTCTACCCCCGGACATCTACCCCCGGAAATCAACGGCTCTTCGGTTAAGCATTGTCTTGTAATATCCAGTATTAAGCATGCGATATGGCATTGTCTTGTTTAACATTATCTATCTTCCTAATTCAATAAGCTGTAACAGTCCTTTTTTCACCCGACCTTCTTCGCCGATTGTTACGATTGAGGTGTCATTTTAAAGCTTAAGATCTTGCGCAGAGCAAAATGGTAATTAAAACGGATATTTCGATTAACGCTTCAAAAGGTTGACCCCTATGCCTTTGATTTATTCCTAGAAGGTGCTTCCAATGGTTAACCAACTTTCACACTATACAGTAACAGTTATAAAGGTGAAATGTGAGCAGATTACTAATCAGTTCCATTTTTAAGTCAGGTTGAAAACCAGAATAGATCGTCTGCAACTGTAAACAAGAGATGGAACACTACCCCAAAACGACTTTTCGTTCTCAATTGGCCCTCTATCAATAACATGTGTTGCCTGTACAGCGAGGCATTTTGAGAAGGAGAAAACCCGCCGGATGAATGCTTTAGGTTTATCAATAACGAAGATAAACATGGTTTTAGTTACACACCGGTAATCTTTGAGTTGACTCATTTAAACTCATTGTAAATATTCATTGTTATTCATTTTGAAATAACTCCTTTAATACTTTGCAATTGCTCGAATTCGAGCAACATGTACACTAAATACATATTATTGCACTTACGATTTATTTGATCCGTTGATTTACGTGAGTTACAACGTTTTTAATCTTACTTGGTTTTGGATTTTATTACGAAACATGATCGGAAATGGTTGCAGTATTTGTAAACTAAATGTAATAACAAATTTCCAGTGACAGCTAGAAAAAATCATCTTTATCCAGCTTTTCATCTTTCACAGCTGTTCGTTATTTCATTGATGTCGTATTCTCCAAACAAATTATTAGTATTTCATTAATTACTGGTAAACATTAGGAGTATCCTAAACTTGACAAAAATGCAAAAAATTGGGGTTTTGAAACAAATTTATTTTGATTCAAAAGTAGTGAGGCCATTTTAATGGCTTAAGTTACTCGTGTCAATCCACCGAATCCAAAAAGACTATTTAAATCGAATCACTACGAATTGATGCTCTAGTTTTTGAGAAGAAGGCCACGTAAATTGCCTTCTGGGCCTTGACAGACAAGACAGAAATTGAGATAAAGACTTGTTTTGGCTTCTTTAATGTATTAAACGTAAAAATGACAAAAATAAATAATTTTAAGCAATGTTCATACTAAACTCTAATTTCATTAAAATAAATTCGTAAAACCAAAAGAACCATGAGGTAAAAATACCTTCCCTATCCCGAAATATCAAATTTTATTCTTTTACATTATTCTCCGTTATTTCACAACCAGCATTGACAACCAGAACCAATCATAAAATATGTTTATGTTTTATTTTTTACGATTAATTATATGTGTAAACAACTAGACTTTTTAGCCAATGTAAAACTCCGGACAGTGTCTACGACATAGAAGGTAATTACTACTTATTACTAGGAGGTAATTGATAGTGAAAAAATTATTAATTCATTAATCAACCTGTGGCAGGCTTTTTATCAACATTTAATTGCATTTTTACCACTAGTAATCAGAAAATAACCTCCTTCAGTGATATGTTTTAAATTTCACGATCTGCGCTCGTGCATGTGCCGTTAGCTATGAATGTACGTGAAAATTGGTTAACAATTTAAATCACTGTCTGAAAATAAATCAAATAATGCTTATGGGTTACACTTTTGGAGCCCTTTATCAAAATATCCTTTTTAATTACCATTTGCGTTGCACTGAATCTTAAGCTTAAAAATTACACCTAAATCAGTAACAGCTTAATTAATTGGGAAGATAGATGACATTAAACAAGACAACGACATATCACATGCTTAATACTAGATATTAGAGAGTAATTATTAAACGAAGAGCCATTGATTATTTTTATAAACCAATTACTAAAATAAACTACAACAATGAATATTGACCGATACGTAGTGTTGCACGGGGGTAGATTTCTGGGGGTCGGAAATAAATAATTCCGGGGTCGGACATTTATAAATCATAAATGTCCGACCACTGGGGGTACATTTCTGGGGGTAGATTTCCAGGGGTAGATATCCGGGGGTAGACGTCTGGGGGTAAATGTCCGGGGGTAGATGTCCGGGGGTAGATGTCCGGGGGTAGATGTCTGGGGGTAGATTTCCGGGGGTAGATGTCTGGGGGTAAATGTCCGGGGGTAGATGTCCGGGGGTAGATGTCCGGGGGTGGATGTCTGGGGGTAGATTTCCGGGGGTAAAGTTCCGGTGTCAGGTTTATTAGCATTTTGATTAATTACAACTGTTAAGTAAACCGTGAAATGCGAGTTGATTGAATATACAATAATTTATCCATCCTAAAAGTTCGCGGCCGGAAATCTACCCCCATACATGTGACGTCAAAGTGACGTAGGCGTTTTTTCATGGGGGTAAATATCCGGGGGTAGAAATCCGGCGACCCGATATTTAATAGCGTTAGTCTTACTTACATAGTTATTGTAGCTTGACATTCTTGTATGAGGAGGAATAAAAAAAGTTTTAAATTTCACGTTGGATTGGCCTCTCCGTAGTTTTTGTAGGCTACTTTAATAATACATGTTAGTTATTTTTTTACACTGTAGATTTGTTTTGTGTTCATCCAGGGAGAGCAGAAAGAAGAGGAGGAGGCAGGAAGTTTTCTAACTGCGCTTTTGTGGACATTCCTTAACATACTGGTAGAAGTCTTGTTTTTATGACAGTGCAACCATGTTGGAATACGAAAACCAAATGTTTTTGGACATTCTGCACGAAGATGGCTTACTCGTCGCAGCCAGGTAAAACATTCTATCCTTCCAGATAAAGTAACCTAAAATACCCCGCCGCAGCAAACCTGCCGACTAAGCGAATTTCCTTGTCTGAATTGATATTCAGTTAAATATATTTTAATAACATTAGGTTTAACGAGTACCTAGGTTTGCTGCTACAAGGAAACTAATAAAGTGTGTTTTTGAGTAAAATATTGATAGCTTAGTACAAAATAAATAAATTTGCCAAGTTTGATCAAAATATATCCATAAACAAGCAAACTACAACATTTGACAATATTCTCCATAAGAATAACATGGGAATTTTAAATTTACAATTTTTTTAATTTTCTCCGTTACTAGTAATCGAAGAAAAATACTTTTATATACTTAATTATTTGTTTTTTAAGCTCTTTAAAAAGGTCTAAAGAGAAATCGGGAAATTTTGTGTTTTGAGGGTCAAAAGTGAGAAAAACCAATTTTTACCCCATAAAACCCCCCGTAAAGCCCCGTTCCCATGGTCCGATCGTGCTGGTTCGCGAACTCATTCAAGTTTATCCCGCTTTACACCTTTAAACCAAATTTCATCAAAATCGGACAAAAATTACTCAAGTTATCGCGTTCACGGACGTATATATATATATATATGTCTATATATATATATATATACATATATAAAAATTTGAACGAATGGTGTTTTTGGCCTCTGGGGACATCAAAATGAAAAAGTAAATCGGTCCCGGGTCTAGGTCTTACCGTGCCACCTACGGTAATAGCTACTTCCCTATAGGGAAATTCGCTAAAATCTGTGTAAATAGGAACTATTTTACTTTTAGGATGTTTTAAAGGTCGGAATAGCTCCATAAAATCCGACCCAACTGAAAAAGTATGTGGAAAAAACTTAATGGGAAGCAACAGACTTTACTCGAAAGTTTTTGGACTAGGGTTGGTAATTATAGGTGTAATTAGGCGTATTGGAAGCTAAAATTGATACAGACGGTCAGTGTTAAGGGTGTTTAGAGTAGAATCTTAAATTATTGAGACCTTATGGAAGAGTGATGTCTTTCTGTTTTTCGTGGTGAATATGCTGTGGTCTGCATAATACAAGGGAGACAGTAGGCCTACTTTAATAGCCTAATGGCTTGGATTTGGCTTTGTGAGAAATATTGTTTTTACATCCATACCTACTTTTTAATTTACATTTACTTTGTTCAGAGGGCTGAGAATGGAGACTGTGATTATGAACCTGATGAAAGTCTACTGCGACCCCGGCAACTTGGTGTTGGTGTTGGGAGCTTCCCAGAGAGAAGAGGAGTTTTTTGTCACTGAGTTAGAGAAGCAAGGAGTTACGCCGCTGCCGAGAGTCATTACCTCTGAAACCACCAATACCGACAGGTGATACAACATAACGTATGTGTGGAGACGAGTCAGACAATATAATGTAACTACCATCATGTCATTTCATTTTAAAGGAAAACCAAGTGGCTGATTAAAAATAAAAATGTTGAAGGGATAGTTCTGGTAGCTTATTATAAGAAGAGTCCAGGACACAGTAAATAACTTCTTGATCAGCATTGTACGTGTAATTAAATTTTAAAGTAAAGTAAAAAGTAAATATACAGTGTACCCTCTGTACAATGTCGAGTGTCCAACATTGTTTGTATTAGAAAACTGCATGAAATCATATAAAAAATGAAACTTTATTTAACTTATGACTTGCTTGTAAAACTTTAAAAAATACAATACCTACTGTTTTTGTTTGTGTTTTTACAAATATAAATTCAATCATATGTTAATTTACAAACAGTCTGTTAGGAGATTGAACATGCCGCCCACCTTGAAAGTACCACTTTCAACAAAATACAAAAAATAAACTATTTACAAAAAATGTCTTATTGATTGTCTTTGGCCTTTTCAATTTTCAATTGGTAATACACACAGGCAATTTACAGATCTCTTGAATGTTCCTGTAGAGGTTCGCACTGTAGCCACTCTAGTTTTTCCATCAAGTCCAGGATGAACATCTTCAACAATAGCAGTAATCCATTTTAAAGGTGGTAGATTGTCATCTTTGATTATGACTAGTTGACCAGGTTTGATATTATTGGCAGTCGTGAACCACTTTTGCCTTTGTTGTAATTGAGAGAGGTATTCCTTGGACCAACGGCGCCAGAAGTGTTGCATAAGCTGTTGTAATCGTTGCCACTGTGATAGACAATTTTCTGGCTTAAATGTATAATCTGGATCTGGTAAACTTGTAAGTGCTTTCCCAATTAAGAAGTGACCAGGTGTTAGAGGAAGGGGATCTTTAGGATCATATGACAGAGGAGTTATAGGTCTTGAATTCAGGCACGCCTCTATCATTGTAAGCACAGTATACATGTCTTCAAATGTGAAATTGGCGTTTCCCACAACCTTCCTTAAATGCTGCTTTACGGACTTAACTGCGGATTCCCAAAGCCCTCCAAAATGGGGTGAATTTGGAGGCGAGAAATGCCATTTGATGCCTTGAAAAGATGTAGCATTTATGATTTGTTCTTGATGATCATTACTTTTAAGAAGGGAGTAAAGTTCCTTTATTTCGTTATTGGCTCCAACAAAGTTTGTTCCGTTATCGGAATATATGTGGTTACATAAGCCTCTTCGAGATGTAAAGCGCTTGAATGCTGCTAAAAAGCCGTCAGTTGTTAAGTTGGATACTAATTCCAAATGAATAGCCTTTGTGGTAAAGCAAACAAAGACTGCAATGTAGCTCTTAATTAATGAAAACTTTCGAAGGTGGTTTGACCGTAAACATATCGGTCCGCAATAATCAACTCCTGTAATCTCAAAAGGCTGTGATGGATTCGTTCGATGTGCAGGTAAGTTTCCCATTTCAGGTTGTGTGCATTTCGGCTTTGTTTTAAAACATGGTATGCACTTATGGATGATTTTCCTTATAATGTTCTTGGCATTTAGTGGCCAATATTGTTGTCTTATGATGTATAGAAGTGTTTGAGGACCCACATGGAGATTGCGAATATGTTCATTTTCAATTATTAAATGAGTGAAATAGGATTTAGCAGGCAATACAATTTGGTGTTTTTGACTTTGATCTAACTTTGCGTTGGCTAGTCGACCGCCTACTCGAATGATTCCTTCATCATCCTTAAATGGATGAAGTGTTATTAGTTTGCTTTTCTTGTGAATTTGTTTTGAGTTTGACAATGATTGTAGTTCTTGAGGAAAGAAACGTTTCTGTTCATGTTTTATCCAATGCTTAAGACTGTGGTTTAATTCATCGTGTGTTAGAGGTCCTGCAATCTTTGAATCTTGAGTTTTACAATTTTTTATAAATCTCAAACAATATGCGGTGACACGAATCAGTTTCTGTAACTTGGAAAACTTCTTCAGTATATAGTCATTATCTGTTTGTTTTTCATTTGATTGAACTATTGCAGCAGAAACTGTGGACTTTCTTCTTTCTGGAATGTCAGTTGAAGGTGTTATGGAAGTAATTGGCCAGTTGCAAGGTTCTAACGATAACCAATATGGCCCTGAATTCCACAAATCAGATCTTATGATTTCGTCGACTGTTAAACCTCTGGATACGAGATCTGCGGGGTTGTCTTGACTTGGCACATGTCTCCAATCTTTATAATCACTTAGATCCTGGATCTTTGCAATGCGATTTGCAATGAATGTTTTCCAGCATGCTGCTTCTGCATTTAACCAGGATAAAACAATTGTAGAGTCCGTCCAGTATGTAACCCTTTCAATATGTTTGTTGATAAGAGCGGTTTTGACATTTGACATTAACTCAGTTAGGAGTAGAGCTCCACATAATTCCAATCTTGGAAGTGACTGTGTTTTCAGTGGTGTTACACGAGATTTTGAACAGAGAAGAGTAGTTTTAGCAGTTCCATCGCTTAGTTCGTGTCTCAAGTAAATTGCTGCTCCATATGCCTTTTCAGAAGCATCTGAAAAACCATGAAGTTCAAAAGTTCCCTCTGTTTGGATCATTCTTACACATCTTGATACATTAAAATTGCTGAGCAATGTTAAATCCTGTTTGAATTGTAGCCATCTCTTGTGTAATTGTTCTGGGAGTACATCGTCCCATTTCATATTTTGTTTCCACAGGTCTTGCATGAGTATTTTAGCATTTATTATAATTGGAGAAATGATTCCTAAAGGATCAAACAGTTTTGCTATGTCTGAGAGCACAGTTCGCTTTGTTACACTTGTAGAAGCTGCCTTATTGTCTGTTGATAACATGTACTTGTACTTTATTTTGTCAGAATCTGCATCCAAAAAAATGCCTAAGGTCTTGATTGTGCTATCATTAGAGTTGGGAAGTTTATGTGCTTTTCTTTCCACCATATCATCTGGAAGCTCTGCTAAAAGTGCGTTACTGTTGCTGTTAAACTTTCGCAAATTGAAGCCACCACACTTTAACATACCGACCAGTTGATCTCTTAATACCCTTGCTTCATTAATGTCGTCTGTTCCTGTCAATACATCATCCACATAAAAGTCTTTCATCACTACATTGGAAGCTCGTGGATATTGTGATCTTTCATCTTGAGCCAATTGTTGAATAGTTTTGATTGCTAAGTAAGGAGCACATGCTGTTCCATACGTAACTGTATTGAGCCTGTGAATGAGGACAGGTTTTGAGTTGTCTTCTCTCCAAAGGATTCTTAGCATGTCTCGTTGACTTGGATGGATCCAGATTTGTCGATACATCTTCTCTATGTCTGCTGTCAGAACGTAAGTGTGAATCCTGAATCTCAATAGGATAGAAAATAAATCATCTTGAAGAGTCGGACCAACCATAAGCGAGTCATTCAGAGATATCCCTGTTGTAGTTTTTGCTGAAGCATCGAAAACTACTCTTAATTTAGTTGTTGAACTGGCTTCCTTAATAACTGGATGGTGGGGTAAATAATACACTGGTTTGTCAGTTTCATTTGCAGTAACCTTTTCCATGTGTCCAAGTTCCTCATATTCATGCATGAAGGATTTGTATTGTTTTTGCAGTTCACTGTTATTTTTTAATCGTCTTTCAACTTGATAAAATCGTTTGATTGCTAATTCTTTGGAATCTCCTAGGGAATTTGGATCTTGCTTCAGAGGCATTTTGACAGTGTAGCGCCCATCATCGCCTCTTTGAACTGAATTGTCATACATTTCTTCACATTGTTTATTTTCTGATGTCATTGTCGCCTTTTTTATAGGTTCTTCTTCAATTTTCCAGAATGCTTGAATATTCTTATCAAGGCTTTCCAGTGTAGTTAGATGACAAGACGTTTCAGTTGATGACTTTTGATGGTGTACTTTGCCTCCAACTATCCAGCCGAGCTTTGTGTTCTGAAGTACTGGTGAATTTTGATTCTTTATCCTTCCATCTTCCAAAAGATCAAAGAAAAACTTTTGTCCTAACAAAATATCAACTTTAGATGGTTTGCAGAATGTGGGATCTGCCAAAGTGATATTTCCAGGGATATCCCATTGACTTGTATTAACAGTGTGTGTTGGAAGTAACCCTGTTATTTTAGGAAGAACCAAAAATGTTGCAGTTGCTTTGTAATTAGAATTTCTTGACTGAAATGTTGCTTGTACCTTGTTTGTAGTTTTAGTTGTTCCTTCGTTAATACCTGTTACTAATACATTTGAATTTTCTTTCTTTAGTTTTAACCTTTGGCAGAGATTTTCTGTCATAAAGTTAGATTGGCTGCCATTGTCTAAGAATGCCCTGCACGTGTATTTAATTCCACTCGGACTTATAACATCCATCAATGCTGTAGATAATAAAACCTCTCCACCTTGGAAATTAGTACTTAGACTTGTTGTAGTAGTACTGGTATTTAATGTGTCATCACTACTTCCCTGCTTGTTGTTAAATGTAGCAGTTTTCTTTGGTTGTAATGATTTATGCCTTGGGTCTGATGTGTTGTAATGAAGTGCAGTGTTGTGTTTCTTATTACAATGCTTACATCCTCTAGAATTGCAATGTTCTACGCGATGGCCCGGTTTTAAGCAATTAAAACAGAGTTTTGCTGCTGTCAATTTGCTTAATCGTTCTTCATGAGAAGCCTTAATAAGTTCGCTGCATTGATACACAGGATGGTTTCCATCGCATATGAGGCAGATGGATTCTTTGACAGAAACATATGTTTTCGTGTTTGATTTATGAGGATGAGCCAAGTGTTGTCTTGGATGGGCAGGTTTGTTATGGAGTTGAAATGACGTTGAGTTAGTGTGAACAATGCTGTGGTTGACGTTTTCTAACATTTGACATCTTTTTTGTAAAAAGTCTGTAAGTTCCTTTAAAGTAGGAAGTTCATTTGGTAGGGTTGAAAGTTCCCACTCCTTATGTGTGGATGTGTCAAGCTTTGTAGTTATGAGATGGACAATGAATGGATCATTTTCATTAATCTTTATCTGTAACCCTTCTAAAGCCCTGATGTGAGTTAGAGTGCTATTTAGTAGGTGCCTTAAGCTTGTTGGGTTGTCCCTTTGTACGAGAGAAAGCTCAAAGAGTGATCTTACATGTTGCTGTACGATAAGCCTAATGATTTGGAACTGATCTTTAAGTAAGCTTAAAGCTACGTTGTAGTTAGAAGCTAATAGCTCTAAGTTCTTTATTACATTAGCTGCATCACCAGTGAGTGCAGCTTTTAGGTAATGCAACTTTTGGACATCATTTAAACTTTCATTTTTGTCAATTAATGCTGAAAAGGAATCAAAGAAGGGCATCCATTCATCAAACTTCCCAGAAAATCTTGGTAGATTTATGGTTGGTAGTCGAACTGAAATGGACGAGTCTGAGGACTGTGTACTGTTATTTGAATTAGAATTGTGATTAACAACAACTTCGTTATTTTGTGGTGGTGGACACGTGTGTTGTTCAATAAAGTTAGCTATTTCTGCACAAAGCACAAAATATTGCTGTTCAAACTCATCCCTTTCAGCTTCATGATTCAATTCTGAATCTGAATCAATATCTTCAATCTTAGATTGCACATTTTCAAATTCTACCCAACTTCCTTCTACCTTTTGTAGCCTAAGTTGTAATTCTTTTACATGCTGACTTCCTAAACATTTATCAAAAAAGTTTTTACATCTTGTAAGTTTAGCCTTAATATTACTTCTAGCTTTCACTAATTGTTGTAACTGATCTTGCTTTGGCATGGCTTGTTAATGTTCAATAAAACTTGAATGAATGTACAACTGAATAAATATTGCAAAGTTTGTAAGTAATTTAAATTTACCTTAAGGTCGTGGTTTTATCGCGGGGTGAAGGACCAAAATGTACAATGTCGAGTGTCCAACATTGTTTGTATTAGAAAACTGCATGAAATCATATAAAAAATGAAACTTTATTTAACTTATGACTTGCTTGTAAAACTTTAAAAAATACAATACCTACTGTTTTTGTTTGTGTTTTTACAAATATAAATTCAATCATATGTTAATTTACAAACAGTCTGTTAGGAGATTGAACACCCTCTTATCCGAATACTTTTTAACATGACGCCGGTTTTACTGGACTACCATTAGGAAAAGTGACATCTCTTTATTAAGGTTAAACTATTGAACTGGACCGATAGTAGGCGTTACTGAAACGACTTTTCTCATGGGAAAGATTTGGGACCAGTGATCTAAATAAGTGTGTCTAAATACAATGTTCACCCAAATTTTTGGGTTAGTTTTAGAGTGATTTGAGTTTTAGGGAGCATCGGGAAACCCTGTAATCTAGAGTAACTTCAATCCTGAGGAGTCTACACACTATTATATACAACACTCTTGAAAAATATATTGACACTTAGGCCTACTGTAAATTCTCTAAAAGTAAATGGAAATTTTGTTTTTATACTGTGAATGTGCACAAATTGTTGACTGAGGATTTTTTCAAAAGAAATAGAGTACAGCTAGCTTACTTGAAAAAAAGCCTAGAGCCCAGGGGCCAATAGCCAATAGATACACAATAGAAGAACACAAAAACATAACACTGATATAAGTATAAATTCTTCAGAGAGAAGGTTTATCAGCCTCTGGACTGTAATTTTCTAAGGCAAGCTAACTCTATTACTTTTCAAAAAATGCCTTGCTAGCCAATTCCTTTAAGATATAACCTAAATTCAAAATTGTCTAAGTGCAAAACAACCACTGTTGGAGAAAATGAGTGCAAGTTCTGTTGCTGTTTATCTTCCTAGGCTCAACGTTGTGATGTTTGCAGAGAAAAGGTGTACCTGGAGGGGGGAGTGTTGATGGTGTCTGCTCGCATCCTGGTGGTGGACCTGTTGAGAGGAAGAGTTCCAGTAGCTCATGTCACGGGGTTTGTTGTCCTGCGAGCCCACAAGATACTGGAGTCTTGCCAAGAGGCGTTTGCGCTTAGACTGTACCGTCAGGATAATAAGGTAGGCCTTATCACATTGAGCCTAAGTAATTAATAAATTGTACATTTTTATGAATTTATTAAATCAAAACTTCATTATGTATTAGGAATTAATTGTTTGCAATTTTGGTATGAGATTTTGATAATTCTTTTTGTTTCTTCCTCATTATTTTTCTTGTGTTTAAATGGCCTTTAAACTCATAAGGTAGAACTAACTACCAGATTCCTTTGACTAGATTAGTGATTAGGTTAGATTAATACAACTTTCAACTCAGACCAAGGTATTTATTTTCAGGAAAAGATGAGTAAAGGATGAAATCAATTATGCTCTCTATTCTCATTAAGGTCAGCAAGTTTTTTTTCAGCTAAAAGACAAAATTACAATTCATCTTCCTTATTTCACTCATTTTTATCTTAAAAACTTTTTGGATGGACTACAACTTTTTGTCCTAAGTAACTTATATCTTAATTATTCTTAATTACTCATCTGTTTACTTGATTGCATTTCTGTTACAGACTGGATTCATAAAGGCGTTCTCCTCGTCCCCAGAGGCTTTCACTGTCGGGTTTGCCAAAGTCGACCGAATTATGAAATCGTTATTTGTGAAGAACCTGTTTCTCTGGCCTCGTTTTCACGCCACTGTCAATTCTAGTCTTGAAAAGCGGAAGGTAATTTGTTTGATAAATTATAAACCTTTGTTTCTATTAACTCTGCGTTGTCTGATTCCCAGGGAACTCAAAAGGATTCCACTAAATTCATAAACTTCCATCCAAAACTTTTACTGTTTATCACTTCATTTCTGGTGCCCCATCCATCAAGCCCTGACACAAATAGGTTAATTTCTCATTAGTTGATCGCCGAACCTTTGCCGAGATGGGATTCAAACCCGTAATCAGCTAGGCATACTGTCTTCTAGATAGGGAGACAACTATTTAATTCACTGATCAACCCAATACAGCACATTATCAATACTAGTAAACCTAAAGCCTAAGTGCAGCAGTTCTAAGTTTAACTCCAAGGCTGCAGCTACTTAGTAAGTATAGCTTTAGACCATTTTAAGGCTCGCATAGACAGTAGTAAGTCAAAGTTTGGTTATGTTTCTTTTGATGGCTGATATATATACTATTGGGGCTCAATGGGTGCAAAATGAAGACCTCTCTTATTTTCACATTAAGAAAGAATCCAGCTAAACAAAGCTTTTGTTATATTTTTTTGTCCAATAGAGATGAAAATATTAACAAAAATCGTTAATTCAATTCAATTATAAACAATCATAGTAATTTCTTAGATGTACTTTTTGAATGAATGAAAAACTTGTGTTCATATTGTTATTATTTTGTGTTTACTGCACAAAGATGGACTAATTCATAACTTTAATCAATGTAATTTATGTTACAGGCAATGGTTGTAGAGCTGCACATACCCCTCACCCCCCTCATGTCCGCAATACAGACGGCAGTGTTGGATATTGTTCATTTCTGCGTAAAGGAAATTAAACGTCTTAATCCATCGGTGAGGAAAAATTTTGATCTGCGCGGAAATTCTCAAGAAGAAATTATCTTCTAAGATCCGTTGACAAAAGTATAATTGATATTTGATTCTCATGTTAACATTTCAGTCAGTTATAGAATAATCTTGCTTAGACTTATATTGCTAATTGCTATATATATTTGTGTTATAGTGGTAAGTATTGACACGGCATTGGTATTGGTACGGCATTGACACACTTAAGTTCAACAATGTTTTGAATAACAATGGCAACAGCTGGCCCATATAGACATGTCTACTTCAAATTCGTAAGTCAATGATGATGATATCAATCAATATACACTCTCGCTCTTTATATTTACTTAGGAGTGGAATTGACTTTAAAAGTACCTACACATCTTTCAGTGACAATTATTAATTATTAGAAGTCTATAAATAAAATCCAAAAACCTGAGCTAAAAATTCTAGGTTTTCAGAATTCTTTCTTAAGATTAGCATGTCTTTCTTGAATTGGAAAGATGGAAAGAGTCCAAATCGGCACAAGAAACACAAAACATTTCAACAATTCACTGTCACTGATATAATTTTCAACTAAGGAAGGTATGAGTTTAGGCCACTATTCCTGAGCATCTCTGTAACTCATAGCTTGTCTACTCTACATACTCCTTTCATACTCTTTTTCTACACTTGACTAAGTCTCCCCCTGGGGATGAAATATGTTTCTCCTGTGTGTTCTACTTTACTTTACTTTACTTTTACTTTTCATTGAAATGGCAAGCATAAACAGTAGGTATTTTAAGCCAAGTACAGATGGAGATGAGTGTAGGATGAGTGGCACGATCTTGTAGTCTTGTTAGTGACTAAGGCTGACATAGTCCTTAGACACAGCTGTTAATTAATCTGTGGCCTACATGTATTTCTTCCAAGGTAAGCTAGCTGCTATCCCCCTTTAACATACAACTTAACAAAATCCTACCTTCTTTAGTTAAAACTTCTGTCAGTGACAGTGAACTATTGTAATGTTTTGTGTATAGTTTTAAGCTTCGTATTTCTTATGCCAGATTGGACTCTTAAAGTAAGCCTACTATGCTCACAAGAGATCCTTAAAATTTTGCAGAACTTTTCTAAATCATTCAAATCTGTTACAGCTGGAGACAGACACAATATCTGTAGAGAACGCTTTGTCTAAGACGTTCCACAAGCTGCTACAACTACAGCTGGACCCTGTGTGGCATCAGTTGAGTGGGAACACCAAACAACTGCTGTCAGACTTAAAAATACTGCGCTCCGTCATCACGTAAGTAGTAGTTATCCTCTGTAATTTCTATGATGAGAGATTGGTAAGGTGAAAAGGTTTTTACGACTGTGCAAACATTTTGTGATTTTGAAATTCACACTTTCACCTCAATTGTGAGGGCGTTGATTACGTTTTCGCGACCGCTTAAGACAGTGATGATGTCTTCAAGACCGCAGGAGATATTCTAGAGTTAACAACTATCACTAAATACGATGATATTCGTCACTGCAGGGGACAATGGTCCAAAAAACTGTTCCGTAGTGTTGAAAATTTTGCCACGATCACGCTAGACAAAGATTGTGTGTCTGAGGCCGTCAGAGTCAATGATGATGTTCTTGGTGTCTGCCTCCTATGTAACAGTTCTTATCACTGTAGTTTTATATTTTTTATATTATTTGCAGAAGCGATTCAGATGGTAGGAGTTAAAATGCGTAGGGATCTACTGTAGTTCAACAATCGATTGGAGAGTTGTCAAGCTTCACTCAAGAACTCCGAAGTCGTTTATATCTCCTTAACATTGTATTTTACTCTTTCTGAGCCCCAATAAGTCTAACTATTGTACAGGACATTGACGCAGAGTGACAGTGTGAGACTACAGGCTTTGTTGTTGACCCTTCGCAGTTCTGATTACGCCAAGCGCTGTTCTGGCTGGATCATGCTGGACTCTGCTGAAACACTGTTTGTATCTGCCAAGAGGAGGCTGTACAACAGCAAGCAAGGTGTGTTGTGTCATAACAGAGTAGAAACCCATTCAATGAGATTTCTGTGATTCATTAAAAATGTCACTGGCTCAACAATAACAAAAAGTACCACTACGGTACTACCTTTGGTGGGTTCTAAGCTGTCTTTCCATCGTTGTGAAATATTCTACTAGATATAGGTTGGTGATTAGAGGTTTCTGATTTTATTTTGTATTTTGATGAAGTAGATGTTATTCTTGATTTTTTTACTGACATAAGATTAATTATTTTAGGTGATAATGCTGCAACCCCTAGGTCGAGCCTGAAGTAATGTGAAAAACAGTTGTGAAGAACAAAAAAGAATTTTTTAGGTAACTGATGTAATGGTATACCTACTACGTAAAAAAGGCCACGTTGCAAACCATACTTTTTGCCACACTGCTGAAAAAAATATGCCTATATACAATAAAAACACTTAAATACACTATTTTTCTGTATTCTCCTAGATGATATTACCACATTCCAGCTGACGGTACCGGTTTTAGATGACTTAACTGATCCTCTCTATAAACGTTTTTCTACTCTACAAAGAGTACATAAACTATCAGCTTCCTGTGTGGGTTGTTGAAAAGGTATTTTTATGGCTTGTGTGTGCTTAGTTCATGTAGCGATTTTCTACTTTCAGAAATATGTCCTGAGGTGAGTCCGAAGTGGGAAACTCTCTCCGAAGTGTTGAAGGAGATACACAAAGATTCTGAGGGCTCCAGCACTGTGTTGGTGTTGGTTGAGAGTGTGTCTACGTGCAAACAGCTCAAACAGGTAATCTTATACAGTATTTTGCCGTCAGAAAGCCTGCCTCTTCCACAAATACCAAAATAATTTTTGGAAATTATTTAATTTTGTGGACTGTAGTACAAAAATAACAGCTGTTCAACAACAGCTTGTTCTAGCTAACAATGTCGGAAAAGCTCGCAAATGTTGCCTCCAACTTAGATGAGCATTGGCAACGTTAGCAACAGTGAGGAGAATGTTGAATGTTTTAGATATGATTTCTAGAACGTCAGCAAGGCTTTTGATGTCACCGGGAACGTTTGTGAGTTAGCCTGGACAGTGATCACCACAGCAAAATTTTCGATTGAGCATCTTTTATGTCTCATCAACTAGCCTACACAGAAAATAGAGAACAAAGCTCTATAACAGAAAACCTAGGAAAAAATATGCTTTGACTCACTCAGCTATATTCTTTAATGAGAACATTAAATACAACTTTTCCATAGATGGAATGTCTTACTTCAGTATCCAGAAGTCAATGGCATTACCAAGAAGTAGAAGTCAATGGCATTACCAAGAAGTAGAAGTCAATGGCATTACCAAGAAGTACAATGTTTTCATGTTTCCAGTATTTGACTAAAGGAGGACCCACGATGCTGCAGGATCTATACAATAGGTTACTCAGCAAGAAGACATCTTCTAGTGAACCATTTCAGGTGGATAACTTGGATGATGACGAAGACGAGGGAAATGTATTTACTCTCTCCCAGAAAGCTGTGGACGACAATAATACAACTTACACTGAATGCACTCAGGTAAACGTTTGATTGTTGTTAAAAATTGAATATTTCCTTTATCGTTAGGAGTTTTTATAGTATGATTTTTGTCTTGGCGTTTCCTTGAATGAACAGTGAAATGCTTCTTTGGAACATAATTTTGGTGTAGAATCATTAAAAAAATAAATAAAGGAGAGAAAAATACTGAGAGTTTTGTTTATACATGTTTGATTGAATCCATACAGTCTATCCTGTGTTTATACAATTATATTTTTTTAATAGGATAGTTAATATTTTTTAGAGTTTTTACAGAATTTTAAAAATGTTGATGTTCATCCACCTTTCTTTCTTACTGTGAACATTAAAACTCTCAAAATTTCTCACTCACAAAAATACCGTAGTTACAACTCTCATCTTTGTGCAGTAAACACAAAATAATAACAATTAAATAAATAAATATAGGATGGAGAGGACACAGCTAACTCACCTGATGAAAGAGTTGCAGATGAGTCAAAGAACACATAAAATCACACACATAATATACTTAATATTTCGCCTCTTTCAGAGGCTTCTTCAGAAGTAGGCCTAGATGGTAGTTACAAAACAACAGTTTAAATAGGATGACACAGTTTGAATTCAAAATGTCTGACAGGTTGTCCAACTGACACTGCACAAAGCACTAAATACAGGCACATTGCAATATTGTATTTACATATAATATGTATATTGAAAAGCAAATTAGTAAATAATCATATTGTAAAAAATAATAACAATATGATTTTTAACTGAAAGCGGATGGAGCTCGGCCCTACCTGCGAATGACCCGACTCATGTACGCACACTCACCATCACCCAATTTGCCTAAAAGCCTTGATCCCCTTCACTACCTAGAAATATAACATCTGTTGTACGATACGTCAAAATCGCAAATAATTTTAAGTTAGACGAGGTGTTAGCCCGTCCTACGTACGGGAATCGAGTTGTAAGTAAAAACGGTCTTTTCTAATATTCGTGGTTAAAACTGTCTATAAGTCAGAACAGATAGCTCACACGTATAAAGAAAAATTGTCTTGCAGTTATAATGTGAAAAATCATCTTGTAAACAAATGGCACATGACCAAAAATGTTTTCATACCAATATAGGCCTATACGATATGCATTTTAAATCCGATAATTTTACAATAAAACAGTGATTGTGTCGATGTCAATGATAACGATGTGTTCAATATATTTCATCTCTGGATAAAACCATTGACTAAGGAACCCATCTAAGGTTGATCTAAAATCTGACACTTGTGTTGTTTTTCGTTAGTTTGTTTGTTGATTTATTGTTAGTTGACTTGATATACTGAATTATATGGTTGTTCCAGTTGGACTCGGCCACGGAGCCAGTAGTGATGATTCAACAGACCAAAGTAGACGGAGATCCATTGTCTTTACCTACAACACTGCGGACCATGAAGCCCAAGTATATAGTCATGTACGATGTGGATGTGACAGCCATCCGGCAAATAGAGGTATAGTAGGCTCTTTGTTGTGGTTGTTGGTTGTTGTTTATGTTATGAAACAACAACCATAAACAGTGTGTTAGTCACCATTGGCTTGGCATGATAGGGATCAAAATAAAATTTATTTAATTTTAGACACAAATTGTACAATTATATTCTATAAATACAAAAGTGTATTGGCTGCGTTAAACATTTTGTATCTCTTTAAATCACTCTAACTAAATTTATCAATAATAACTCACATGTATTTCGTACAAGTTGGTAGCGAGGAATTTAAAACAATTTTATAGAATAGGTGAGTATCTCCCAGGTTCAATCTAAAAACAAGTAAAGCTGTCTTTCGGGTTTTCTTCCCGGCCTTAAAATGTATCAACTGCTGCAGATGCTGAATATATTTGTTACACGTTCGTAAATAGAATCCTAAAATCTATCAATCCATTAGTAACCAGTGCTTTCACTTTTGAGTTAATATGATCAATAGACCTTGACCTCCTTGATCACTCAACATTTGTTTTACCTTTTAGTTGAGAAATTTTTCAATTATCCATACACTTGGTTATCTATTAGTTTATCTTTAATTTTTGATTATGGGAATATTTTATCTAGGGATGGACGAGATTGGATTTTTAGTTCGAGACGAGACGAGACGAGATTTTTTATTTCTCATAAAATTTCGAGACGAGATCGAGACGGGATTTCCCTTCTCATACACAACGGGAAATGCACATTCAAAATTTTTACCTGATTTTGTAACATTGTCAGATGACTGTTTAAATACAAAAATAATGATAATAGGCAAGAATATTTACAATCTTTTATTAAAAAACATCAGCATAACATTTTTTTATTAATCACGCCTAACTTATTAAAAATGCCTACGATTAGGAAACATAGTGATATCAGTTAGGATAGAGTTCAACTTATCCTAAAATAAAATAAATCATAAAATAAAAGCAATATTAATTTTTATAAAATAGTTAGGTACTTGTTTTGACTTTTTATAGTAATAAAACATTCCTGACACTGCTTACACTTAACAAAACTTCTCAAATGTTTTTAAAGTAATATTATTAAAATAATTAAAGTAATATTTACATTTAAAGAATTAATTCAATAAGAACGCCTTCGCAAAGGAAACGCAACTACAACACGCTCCTGTATTGCGGGTATTGCATTGACTTTCTGCAGGCGTTTTTAATTTTTTTTTTTTTTTTTTTTATTCTCGTCTCGATAAAAATCTCGGCCAAAAAGAAATCTCATCTCGTGTAACAAGATCTAAAATTTCCCGAAATTTCGAGACTTGACCATCCTTAATTTTATCATTCTTTCAAACAGTCAAGGAATCGTTCTCAAATTCTAGAACGTAAAACAATTGTAGTCAAATTCTAGAATGTAAACAATTTTGTAGTTCTACTTTTTTAGTCCTACGTCAAATCTCTACCATATTACGATGTAGTGTCAATAAAGCTGCTAACCTAACACATAGAAGTGTACATGTTGAAAAGCAGTTTGAAACATTTTGTCAGGTATACCAAAGTGCAGAAAGTGAACACCAGATCCATGTGTATTTTCTCATCTATGGAGGCTCTGCGGAGGAACAAGCTTATCTGACCACACTACGGAGGGAAAAGGAGGCTTTTGATTTTCTCATCAAAGAAAAATCTGTAAGTATTACTATGTGTTTAAACAAACTTGCTAGAATTATATACTCACAGAGAAGTAAGGTACAGTTAAAACCTTCAATGGCACACTTAAGTGGTGTCTAGCACTATTTGCTGGTGTCTAAACAATGGCCAACACCGTCCCTCTTGCCCTCATGTACTACAACGCTAACGGTTGAGGAAGACCCTGTACAATAGAAATTTCCGCACAGTGCCAGCCGCATAACTCTAACTTGTTTGTCACAAGCATATTTCCGGCACAATTTACTAGAGCTGAAAACGCATGATCCCCTGAGCAAGATTCCTCTATACCTTATTTCTCTGTTATATGTTATGTTTAATGGTTTCCTTTTAGGATGATTCCATAGGCATAGGCATAATTGAATGCTTATTCACAGATAACTATATTATAGGTTACACATAACTTATGTCATCATCAATCCACTATCTATTACAAGATTACTAGTTTAGGAGTGCTGTAGGTCCATTATCAAATCTCTGATAGTTTGTTAGTATTAAGGCAATTTGCGAAGATTGGAGGATGAAATACAGAACTAACTTATGCACCCTCGCCAACCGCTCATAAATGTCATAACCATGCATAACCATCTTAACCTGGATTATCAAGAGTCTACTGAAGAGCAATTTGTATTACCATTTAATTATCACTCCACAGACCATGGTAGTTGTGGCAGATCAGGAAGGCAAGAGTGACAACTGTGCAGAGTTGAGTCGTGAGGTTGGCAAGAGTGCTGCGCCTCAGCTCAACACTCGTAAGGGTGGCAACACTGAGTCCAAGGCCAACCCCCGGGTCATTGTAGACATGAGGGAGTTCCGAAGTGAGCTACCATCGTTGTTGCATCGCAGAGGCATAGGCATAGACCCAGTCACATTGCAGGTTTGGTTTTTTATTTTCTCCAAAAATGTTTCACGAAAAGTATGTTTTCTTTATACGGTTTATTTATTTATTGGCTGTTTAACTGTTGTTTTTTTCTTTAGACTGCATTGTTTCCACCTATCAGAGATTTAATTGACCATCTCGATTACGCAAGGGCTAGGAAAAGCTCTGTGGAAAAAGTTGATTCTGTCAGAGGACTTTACATGCTATACTTCGGATTTTGAGCGAACAAGATCGTAAATATTCAAGTGTTCATAGCTCATTGATTAGTCTTGATGTTGATGGTAAATAGTGCAAGTCGTATCATACTTGCCGACACTGCTTTTTTTCACCTCAGTCTAACCAAATTCTAAGTACAAGTGACATTTGACCACTCATTTACAGATAGGAGACTATATCTTGTCGCCCGAGATGTGTGTGGAGAGAAAGAGCATCAGTGACTTGATCGGGTCTCTTAACAGCGGCAGACTGTACCAGCAAGCTCTAGCAATGTGTAGACACTACGTCAAGCCCATTCTGCTCATAGAGTTCGACCAGAACAAACCCTTCGCACTGCAGGTAGGTCTTCGATACGGTTTTTCAGTGGTGTGAAATTATTGTTTGAGTTACCATGTAGTAATTGGGGATGAAGTTATGTGGTTTGAAAGCAGGTAAGGCTTAAAGAATGTGTTGACAAGTGCATACCTATCATGTAATTTGGAATTATCAAATGCTTTACTAGATTAGGTTGGGATTAGATTAGTAACTTTTGCTGGGGTTTGGATTTCTGTCTTAAAGGACATATCCCGCCATGCAATAATGTCATGAACCAGTGGTTTAAGCCCATCAAGTTTTAGTTCTATCCATCCAGAAAACGAAACGGTTCTCTCAGGCAAAGACAATCTTTTCAGTTGTGGAAAACTTGCTGAACAACTCAATGATGAGTTTTCATTCAATGGTTAATTTTTTTTTTTAATTTAGTAAGTTTAGCAAAACATCTGTGTAACCAAAACGTGTTATTTATGATAGTTTGCAGTTTGTTCCCTATTTTTACGGCCAAACATAATTTAACAAAATATCAATACATTGCGTTCCTTCAGTGGATTTAAGTTAAAACAATGTACTTCTCTATTAACACCCTACCAACACATTTATTGGAGTGTGCCAACCTAAAGAACATGAATCAGCTGACCTTTGACCTTGTTCCCTGTCCAGGGCCGCTACTACCTGAGCAGTGATCTACAGAACAGTGACATCACAGCCAAACTGCAGCTGTTGACGATACATTTCCCTCGGCTGAGGCTTGTCTGGTCTCCCAGCCCGTACGCAACAGCCCAGCTGTTTCACGAGCTCAAGGTATTGTCTCGTTTCCATCAGGTTTTTTATTTTTTTGCTCTAATATATTTCTTGCAAGACTTAATTTAAAAAAGTGATTGATAAATAAAATTATGGACAAACTGTGGAACCAGGAAGTCCACCATCAAATCAAAGTTGATAAAAAATCAATACCAATGTTAAATCTCAAAAAATCTTTGCGGAAAATTGCCGTTGAATGGACTCCTGGTCCATCTGTGAAATTTCCTTGTGAACCATTCATATTTATTCATTCTTCATAAAATCCTTGTACGTGAAAACCAATAACTATATTTTTGATAGTGTCTTTTGTCTCGATCACTACAAGATAATAGTGTAAAAAAGTGTTAAAACCTTTTGTGTAAAAAATCATAACCACAGAATTGAAAAAGTGACCTAGTAACTAGAATTATGTCGGTTGTCAGATATACAGTAGTTTTAGAGACACCAGAAGAGTAGTTTGGTATTGATAATATGTCTAATGTATTGGACTGACTTTAGAACTGGACTGTATGAAAGGTAATGTAAAGTGTATTACTTTTGAAGTAAAGTATTCCAGCTCTATCATCATCAAGATCTAGCTCTAACCCGATGTTAAAGACTTGATAAGGACAATGTGGAATTTTATATTAAACCTTTAAAGAGCACCAACGGACTGAATTGATTGTCGAAACACAGGGATGGTTTTGCTGCGGATAAGCTATACAATTTTCAGGAAAGCTTCATACTGAATATCCAAACTTGCCAATACTATGACTACGTTTTTTGCACTCAATGAGCTTCACAGAAAAAAGGTCGAGAACGATCTAGGCATAGTGTAAATTAGTTGGGCTTAGTTTTGACTCGCCTATCAGATTGATCAGCTCTGGTTGGTATTGTTTGTCAACAGGAAGGCAAGGATGAGCCGGTCGCTTCAGTAGCCGCCGCTGTGGGGTTGGAAGGCACAACTCTTGAAGACGATGTCCACATAGAAAAATACAACACTGCCATTCATGTAAGAATCAAGTGCAGACATTGACTAGGGGCTCTATAGTTATACTCCATCTATATTTAGCTTAAGCCTGTTTATTATTCTGAAGACGTCGTCGGATCAAGCCACTCACAGAGATATCTTCTGTCAAAATTGTATTTCTGGTCTTAGATTAAAACGATTTATTATCAGCTGCCCGTTTACTTTAAATTAAACAGTTGTTGTATCTATCAATGGCTCACATCAACTAGAACGGCCCCCAACGACTAAAACGGCTTGGTAAAAAGTTCATATATTCTACAGAAATCAGTACTGTAATTACTTTTCTTTTCTAAGATACAACTTTCAACTAGCAATGCTCAATTAGTTGTAGTGTATAGTTATTTGTGTAACTAGTGGTGAAAGTGGCACTTTGCTGCACACGAGAGCAATGTTTACGCACTCGCCTGCGGCTCGTGCGGAATGATCTCGAGTGCAGCAAAGGCCTTTTTCACTCGTGTTACACATTATATTTTTCCTACAGTCACTATAAAGCATATAAATAATTAGTCTTTCAAACACTATACAACACGTTTTTAGGTTCAGCTGGCAACACAAATGGTGCCATAAAGAAAGTAGTACTCGTGGTCCGTATCACTCCGCTATTTTTCCTCGGCAAGAAATGTGCTCCGCGTTTTGAGAATATAGTTCCGTATTTTTTTTGTAATTTGAAGTGGTTTCCGCGCCTAAAAAAAATGCTTTAAAGGTATTTTCTTGTTTATTAAGATCGTAGGAATGTTTTAAAAACGTTTAAAAGAAATGTCCAGAAAGTTCAGAAATACCGAAACTATAAACAGAAATGACAGGTTAAATCGTAGTTATAATAGTCAATCAGCTGTGTATAGTGTTATTATCTTTAAGTGTTGCCAACCTATTTCCAAGCGTACACGGATTACGTGCATAATAGAACCACGCTATTTTGTGTTGTTTCGTTGGAATCCTGATGTGCGGCAAAGTATAAACCGTACGGCAAAGTATAAATATGCAGCAATTAGCAGCTTTCTGTACTATAAACAGTACAAGGAAGCCAACTTTGTCGGGTGACTGTAGGAAAAAGTACAATTTTATACTGATTACTGACACAATTTAAATGTTACTAATTTTATCAGAAGGAATTATATTTAGTGAAAATTTACCCATAATATTCATCTGTTCATGGTTGTTTCTTGAATAAAATAAAATAAACTAATGTTTATTAAAGAGGTTACAATTTTTGGAGGGGTTTTTGAGCTTTTGTCATTTTGCCTCTGTCTATTGATAAGACACTAATGGGAATATCACATGATCTGTTATAGCTGTAGTAATAAATAGTTGCCAACTATATGCTTTCTGTTTAGCTCAATGGATAAAGCTTGTTTGGTAATCCTGAGAAAGGTGAGATGGTTTTTGATGGTTCAAAACTGGACCCTGCTAGGCTTACAAATAATCGTCCTATCTTAATAACTAAGCTACAACATTCATTCACCTTTCGTCCTTAAGTTATCTTTGTCTTAAGGTCCTTACCCTGTTGAATCTGTGTCCCATATCTCTAATCTCCTTCACATTCTGATGATAGTTTCAATTTAGGACTTTGTCAGTAAACTGCCAGGAGTGAACACCAAGAACCTCTCGATGCTGATGAACAGAGGCCAGTCATTGGACCACCTCATGACTCTCTCGCAGGTTTGTCACGGTTAAATGTTACATCAAACTTGGTAGAGAAAGGAGACATTCAGATAGACCCTACTAAGTAATCAAGATGTTAGCTCTATCTTTAATTGAAATTTGTGATATTTTAATCATCTGACTGAGTTTTAACTCATAAGAAGCCGTAAGAGAGAGGATCACTTTTTCAACATTTTTTTGCTACAAATTGTAGTAAGTGACTGTTCCCCAATCTATAAAGTGTCCTGGAAAAAACAATGAAAATTGGCATCCAGAGTTTAAAGTAGAATAACAATACATAAGCTCTTGGAGTAATTTATCACAAATTGAGCTATCCTACCTCCGTCATAAGTCGAAATGTTCATCAAATAGGTGCTGACTAGAGCAACATTTTCAAAGCATACACACGTCATAGCATCAAAATTATGTGTCAAGTTTCTATATAAATAAATACATATTATGTCAATCATGTTAACATATGTTAAACAATAATGTTGATAACTTCAACTCATACTTCACGAATCATAAACAACTAGATTAAACAATAATGTTGATAACTTCAACTCATACTTCACGAATCATAAACAACTAGACAACATGATTAACCTTGTTAAATTTCAGGAAGAGCTAAGTGAAATGCTGTCCAACAGTCAGAACGCAGAACTTCTGTACAAAGCCCTTCACAAGTCTGTACAGGCTGTGACAGAACCAAAGTCCTATCGTGGCCGAGGCAGAGGGCGAGGCTTTCGGAAAAGAAAAAACTAAACGAACCCTCGTGTTTTGTGTTTCCAGCTTTGAAAGAAAACTCCCACCTTATCAGTGTTCTTCCAGAAGTGCTTTGATAGTTTTATACATTTTTGAAAAGTATTTTATCATAGTTTCAGCATTTTTACTGAAAAAGTGGTTTATTAAGAATTAATTAAAACGTTTTTGTATGTGATTAACTGAACTGTGACTTGTTTTGCCCCATTTTGTGATGAAAAAAGTTACTGGCTAAATATTTTTTTTATACGCGTACTTTACTTTTTTATGAAGCAGTCTTATGCGTTTCAAATGTTTAGTGAATCGTCTTAAACTCTCGTGTAAGTATCTTAAATACTGAAAATGCATGAATGTCTTGTGTTCATAAATTATTTGTGTCTAGACGGTTTGAATTTAAAGAAAAGTTGAACGCACATATTTAATCGGTATGTTTCAAGTATTGAATAGCCTTCATATCAACATCACTTTGTTATTAAACTACAAAAGTATACCAATTAACCAATTACAGAAACAATTTTTACAGGTTTATACTTGTTCGTAAGTAATCCTAAAAGTCTTTAAACAACTTGTATTATAGATGTATACTTGTGTAATATTAATATTCAATAAAATTTGTAAAAATATGTACTGATTTAGTGATTTTATTACTTGTTCCATGACAATAAACCTGGCGCACACGTGGCGATTTTTTTAGTTGAGTAATGATGGATGTTTTCGAGTGCGTAGCTATCCTAAAAAATGGACTTTGTAGAACCAACCTGTGTTTGTGCTCTTCTAATTAGGTCTAAGAAAAAAAAGAAGACAACGTGAATATTGGGTTCATCCTATAGTAAGTCAGAGACTATTCTTTCTAATTTTTACTATACATCTGCAGCCTTTTTTCTATTTCATTTATAAATAGTTCAGTATCGAACTCTGCCACTGCCATGGTAAAAGGCTAGAAAAAATAGGAAAGAAAAACAACGACAACACAACTCACGCTGAGACTTTGACTGACTCCTGAGGAAAACAAGAAGTGACTGGCCGATTTTTTAATCGACCGTGTGCTCGGACTGATAACAACCTGTACGTTACAGATTTCCGGGCGACAATCGCCTCGCCTACGAATCTGCAGCAAAATGCAGATTTTAAAATCGGCGCAATTCTCGATCGCCTGTGTGCGCGCTTCCGATGCACAGAACGGCCGATGAAATAATTGCCTCAAAATAATCGCTTGTGTGCGCCTAGCCTAAAATTCAAATACATTTTTACTTTATTTATTTATTTCATGCAACATAACATTATGAAAAAATTAATTTCATTCAAAGCTACAAAAGCCTCAGTAGGATTGTCTGCAGCAAAGAGTTCAGTTCAAAGTCCTTTCACAAAAATTCTAGTCAGTTTCATATCTGGTACAAGCTATTCTCCTAATCTGTTGTACTAAATAGATAATTATTAACATCCATTTCTTACATTGTTTTAAATATAATAGGATAACTAATAATATAACAACAATTTTAATAAAAGTGAATAGGTAAATATTTGGAAAAAAAAAATTTACTACAGGTACGTTACAATCCCTTGTTTTACCTAAACCATCAATGCATAGAAATATAACTATTAACAAAGAAAAATTCTGAAAACTTTAACGAATGAATACAGTTTTTTAAATTCTGCTTTCAATGAAGAGTATGACTTAAAATTACTTAAACTAATTGGTAACTCATTAAACAAATGTGGTACTAAATAATGTCTAGTTCTCTTAGTATACTTATTGTTCACGCTAGACACAACATAAAAGGTTCTCCTAAAATTAATTGTACTTATGTGAGTTTTTTTCTTTAAATTTATTAGAGAAACAATAGCGTATAATAATCAATAAGAACTTGAAAAATTTTTCAACTGGCAAAATTTTGGTAATTTCATAATTAATAGATAGTTAAACGTTATTTGGAGTTTTTGGTACAAATTATAAAATTAAATGATAAATAACTCAATTAATATTATAGATACAGGACATTTCCTTGATTTTGTTTAAAGAAGATGTAGTTGGTAATACAATGCCGTTTAGAGCTTGTTTCTATCGTGTCTAGTTCACGAGATATGAGCGATTTTCTAGCACCATCAAGCTTTTCCTATTATTTTTAATATTAATTGTTTATTTGGGCAGTCTAGATACTTGTAGCATGGTCATGTTGCCCTATGCTTTTAAGTAATATCTTCTTATCAACTCACACATTGAAGAATACAATAATTTCTCCATTAATACTGGAGAATGATTTGAAAAAAAAAACTTTTAATCAGGGAACTTCCCCGAGTTATCAGAGAGATTCCTCATTTCCCTAGATGGCCAAATAAGAAAAAATACTTTAAAAGCTGTTGTAAAGTTAGCCAAGTGCAAAGTAACTATCTGTCAGTGTAACATAAAATTTTAGAGGAATTAGCAAATTTATTACATAGTCTAAACAAATTTAATTTCTATAAACTAAACCAAGTTTGCCATAGTATCCATAAGGACATGACATATGCAGTGTGCACATCCAACCCATGTAAGCTTAATCCTTGTATGACTACATATTGTATGCGAATTGTATAGAGGACAAGGAAATGTTAAGTCTGTAAAATAAAAGGGCTTGCTGGATTAGCCTGCCAAAAAATACCTACTCTAGCTTTCAGCTCATTGAATATTCCATTAGTACATAAATTGATAAATATAAAATAGAATGTAACATGATTAATTGTTTTGTTTAAAACTAGGTTAGGCTACAGCAAATCCTTTTTGTAATTGTTTAAACAAGCTTGAGGAACAGTCAGCAGTAAAAACTGAAAATTCCTTTTTAAATTTTACAATTAATTTTATTTGTAGCTATAATGTGTGTTTTAAACATCATGTAAAATAAAACATTAGCTGGCTGTGTAATATCCAAAGCCAAAACCTAGTATTAATTTTCATGAATTAGCATGGATTACTCTTTTGATTGTTAATAATGCTTTTAAATTCTGTAAAATGATTTAAAAATCCAATAATGAATTTGAAAACAATCAAGACAAATGTATTTGCAATTTGAATTTTGGGTGGAGTTATTCAATTTCCCCTAACCAAGATTGTAGCAACAACAAAACATCCTTATAACAACTTCTCATTATAATTTATTTATTTGTATGTCTTCATTAATATCCATCAAATTATTTCAGTTTAAATATATATCTCCGTTTAGTGTTTAAAGAAAATATATAACGCATACATGATGCACATCAGTTTACGCTGTAGGGGTTTTTGTTCTGCGCCGGTACAGGCGAGGGCATTTTCGTGCCGCCATTGGCAGCCCTGTTCATCCGGCTGGCTGCAGAAAGAACAAAACGGATTCCTTTCGTTCAGTTCATTTAAGCACCCGGGCGTAGTGTTATTTTAAGTGATCTGCATTGTGTTTTGTGTTTATACGTTTTACATTTCAATTTATCGGTAAGTACAGATGTTTCTTAATCAACAATATTCGTAATGCATGGGCAAATGATTGATGTAGTTGAAGATCATGTAACGAATGAAATTTACATTCTCTCTCTCTCCCTCTCTCTTACTTGTAAACATGTTTATACTGGAATTTAGGTATTTTCAGAAACTGTATGTGTGTATAATTTAAAGCATAGAAACCCGATTTCGTCTGAAATTAGATAATTACCGCAGTTACTAATACCATATCTAATTTAGTCCCAATTGTCTCTTGTTTTTCGTGTACTGTACGTAAATGTTTTAATTATAAGTCATTTTAGTCTACTTGTATTCGTTTTTAGGAATCGTAATTTTTAGTTTACAGAAAAACACTTGATTAGTTGTTTAGCTAACATAAGATGAGCAATACAATTCACTACATGTTTATTAAGTAGGCCCTAGTTTAATATCTACAGGTAAAGTAAATTTAATGTGTGTTGGCTAAATATTTTTAAAATTTATATACCGTACCTACTTATTTTTACAAGTATCAGCCTAATCCATGAGAATCCATGATATAATTGTGCAATTATCAACTTAATAAACTTAATAACCCTCCTTTTGAACTAGGCTACCACACAATTTATTAATATACTTTTACTTTTTTTCTCTTTTTCATTAGGCTAGTCAATACAACATTTTTACACTTTTTTACTGATTGTTGTACAGTGCTAATTTTAAACTTTAGCCCAAAAGGCATATGGGCTAGTAGTGATTACTTTTTAAAATTTTAATTTAATTGGAAGCTTTCTTTCAGGAGCTAAAGCTAAACAATTCGAATCATTTAGTCTTCGAGGTTACTTTCTTAGTAAGAAATGAATTAAGTTGGGTAAAAATATCACGACGAAATTATTTGGTCTGGTAGAGCTGTGATGAAATATTTTAAAAATCAGTTGTTCTAGTCAATGTTTACACTGTTCTACATCAATAATTTTCATCTTGTTTTAAACCTCGTAGACATTTCGCTTTATCGTGTTTGTGGATGGGGGAATTTATTTTTGGTTTCAAGTTCTAAAGCCAGTTTGTTTTTTTGTTTTTTTTTCATCTTGTGTTTTACAGACGCTAGATTATTGTATTTATTGTATCGCTGGAATCATGGAAAAAACGAAAAAAATAAATAGGTGCCCTAGGAGAAGAGGGCAAAAATTCCTCTAGCCTATATTCGAGAACTCTATTCCCTTCAATGCCATGCATTAATTAACAAATTAATGACATTTACGAAGAAATCACTAAAGTGTAAAAAAAGTATGTGAATATTATGAACTTTGGTTTTGAACAATTACCCTAATCTATTGAAATAAGCTGGAATGGCCATCATTATTGTTTTTATAATTTTAAAACATTGACGTATTTATTTCGATGCCAAGTACAATTAATTACAATAAATTGACGTGATTATTATGATGCCTAAAACTCGTGTATTCGCCTACAGTTTTGGAAATCAATTTATTAAGACTGATTGATTGATTGACGTACACTTGGGTGCTCATTTTAAGTTTAAATATAAATGCAAGATGAGTTGATATTGAATATCAGCTGTTTCTAGAGACAGAGGGGCAGAACATTCATTCCTAACCAATCGCAACACGTACTGGTGTTTTGCAGCGCAACTGCAGTAGTCAAAGGTTTATTTTCTTAATAGGCCTACATATTAGTCAACAAAGAAATATAATTTATAAAATAAAATGGAATTAGGCTAGTTCATTCATAGAGTCCAAAGCGATTTCCAAGTACTGTAGACTGTAGCCTACCGTTTGAATGTATAAACTTCCTCCGGTGGCAATGCGTTTTCCACGAAGTGTGTAGAAATAAACTGTCATTTCCAAGAAGCAGTGGAGCACCTGTTGTATGAAGGGGTTTGACAATGGGTTTCCCACCATAACCGGCAGGTGTCTTCCTTGCGTGACCTTCAACTTGGTATTGGACTGGTGTGAGTACGAGGTTTCTAACCTCAATTCGCACACGGTAGATAATCTAACAAGTCCTAGGACACTACACTAGGCTCTGGTGTAGTTACACACTACTGTACTTCAAGCTCGATGGCTAGGCCTAGATGGTTGTGGCGTTATAGTGATCCATTGGTGATTGGCGGGATTTGAACCCGCGACCTCGGGGACCGAAGTTCCACACTCTGTCAAGCTCTCTCCCCAAGTC